TCACTTCTTGTTTTAAAATGTTCATAATATGAAATGGGCTGATTAAATAGAACTTGGAAAATGCAGAAAGATATGAAAAGTAAATTAGCCACATATACTGCTTAGTGATAAACATTCATTCTTTTAGCTCAGTTTCTGTTAATCTTTTTCATATATCTGTTCCTTTGCACGCACATACACACACACTTATCTGAAATAATTCCTTTATTTCATAGAGTAAAATATGTATCAGTTGTTACTTTCTCTAGGAAACGAAAGCGAATTTCCTGAAAATGCATTAAATAGTTATGAGAAAGCATGGGCAAGGTTGGGGATTTGGCTCAGCAGTGTAAGTGCCAGACAGGCGCAAAGTCATGAGTTCGATCCCCAGTACCAAAAAAAAGAGTGGTCAAGGTATAAAAAATGAAAAATTCAAGTGGTCGAGTGTATAAAAAAAGAAAAATTCAAATAAAAGAATAATTCTTATTATAAAAAGTTTATTTTGTATGAATTGAGAATATGCTAGATTTACTAAAAAGCACAATGTGTTAGAATTTACCAGTCAATAGGTACTAGAAGAGATAAGTCCTAGCGTCTTACTGACAGTGGGGAACCATAGATAATGATTATTACATATTTTTTAAAAAGAAAAGATTTTCAAAGTTTTTACTACAAGAAATGATGAACATTAGAGGAGATAGATATATTTAAATGTATATTTGAATATTGCACAATGTACATATACATGTAACATCATACAGTACCTCATAAGTATGTACAATTTTGTGTCAGTTTTTTAAAGATTTTGTCAAATTAATCATAGTTGACACTTTAAAAATAAGTGACCCCGTATTCTCCAGTCATCCCACATCTTTCTAGAATGAGAATTGTTATATTAAGGACCATGCTAATTTCTAGAAAATATCAGAACAGATATATGTTAACAGTTTCATAGAATCATTGCTGGCTGCTGTGTGTGTCTGTGTTTTAACAGCTGCTTTGATGTGCTCCTTCACATTTCTCTTGATACCAGCCAGTATCAGGGCTGCTCTAGACATCAACTTGAATTTCAATTTAAAATTGTGGAAGATAGAAAAACAATGCAAGAAAAGTCCACCGACAAAAGAAAACAAATGTAACTAGTATCATATTATCAGTGTTTAGTGTAGGAAAAAAACCCTGTATTCTGTATTCAGGTGCCTGAGGCTCCCATTTGTACTCTCCAGGTCTGGTTGGGCTGCATCTCTGGTGTCCCCGCTATCCCTCAGCTATGACTGCCCCCGCTCCGTTTTTTTTCCCCCACGAAAAACTGCGGCAGTCCCGGCAGCACAGGCAGACCAGCAGTTTAAAGGCCCTGTGGAGCTCCTGCTGCAGCTTGCAGGAGGCAAGGCCTGCTGGACCTTTCCCTCTGCCATGCATCCTAGCCGGCAGTGACATGCAAACACCAGTTAAAACTCCGCCACATTAAATCGGACCCCCAGACTGACCAGGGCCGCGCCTTAGCGCCCCCGTTATTTCTCCATCTTATTTCTGCTCTGTTTTTAAAATAGAGCTCCGCGGTCATTTCAACAGGCATATGACCATTAAGACACTGTCTAATGCAAATCTACAAAAGTAAAGTAAACAAGAATACAGCAAACAGTCCCTATACAGGTGTGGCTCGTGAGACTGTCTGCCACATGTCTAACGTCTGATAAAATCAGTGCACCTCTCTCCCTTTGGTTTCTCATAAGCCTATTTTTGTTGTTGTTGTTGCTGTTTGTTGGTTTTTGTTTTCTTCTTTATCTCCTTTGGCTGTAAATGGGCTTATTTTCCTCTTTGGCCCTAAGGAGCCGTTTTTCTCTTGCCCGAATTTTACATGGTTGATATCAGTATCAGTACAACTCTGTGATTAACACTGATGCTATCAATGCACTTCTCCCCCTTTTGCACACATAAGGAGAATGCTGCCTCTTCCACTATGTCTTCCTACCCTGGTCCCTGCTCAGATGCCAATATGCCACATCCAGCACAGCTCTCAAATTCCTGGGGTCGGCAGGGGAGGGCGAGGGGATGAAGAAATAAAGGTAAGAGACAACACACAGAAAGCTGAGGAGCCCCCTCTCCTAACGGAGGAAAGGAACTGCCCAACTATCCCAGCACGTCTATATGTGTTTGCAAGTTGGTGTCACATGACACCCTTTGCCTGACAACCTTGGACAGGAGCAGCTTGCTTTTCAGACCCACCTTGCTTCACCCCTGCACGTGTGATCAGTTTCCAGCTTCAGCGGCGCCCTACAGTCCAACTTGTATTATTTAGTAATTCTGTTAACTTCTGACCTTACAGTTTTCATTGGAAAAGCAGGAGCTGCATCAATTGTTTGCCAAAGCTATTTATAGCTTTGCACTTTGTTTGATTTTGCACTTTGATTTTTGCACTTTGTTTGATTTTTGTATAATAAATGTGAGGTGCTATTGAAGTTTATGACTTTCAAGCTGAGGGCAGTGGCAGATGCCTGTAATCCTAGCACTCTGGGAGATTGAGGCAGGAGGTCTGAAAGTTCAAGCCAAGCCTGGGTGATTTAGCAACTTGCTGAGAGATACTCTTTCAAAACATAAAAGGAATATAGTACAGGGCAAAGGCACTGTGTCGAATCCCCAGTACCATCAAAAAGATGACCTTTAAATAATTTTCTCACTCTACTAAGAGAGGAAAAATATTCATCTTTCCAAACCTACTTATTAAATATTATTTGTAACATGTTTACATGGTTAAGCCTTCAAAAGATATTATAATACAAAATGAGTAGTCCATCTGAAAAGTGCCCTTGTTTCCAATTCTGTTGTTTTAAGAATCTCTGCATGGGTGTAGCACACCACACTCATTCTTGCTGGTAAGTGGACAGCAAATCACATACGATTAACCGAAGGCCAGATGACAGGAGCTTACAACATACAAATAGAGGCCCGTGATACTTCCAACTTCTGAAAATCATGTCAATATGCAGAGACTCACCTAACAGCAAATGTCAAAGAAGCTGGCTATGATATCCCCCACAACAGTCCCCTCTTATAAAGCCAAGGAAGTGGGGGTGTCAGGGTAAACCTGGTGCATACACACACACACACACACACATCTTGCGTTCTTCTTTTTAAGTCTGACAAAATCTTTAGGAGGAGTTGGAGGAACCCTTGCTTTAATCACTGACCTCCTTCAAAGCTCTGACTCCTGACTTCTATCACTACTTCAGAAGCTCACTGTCAACACTCTGCCTCTGAGCTAGTCAAGAAAATCCCCAGGCAAGGCTGAGCCACACACAGTAGCTCCACTTCACAAATACGCCTATAGGCCTGATGAATCTTTCTGTGAGATTCTTAAAATCTCAGAACTTTCACACCATTTGGTCAGTTCCTGCTGTGGAGAACAGGCACGGAGAACTGGCAGAAGTGTTAAATGCTTTTGATGTTGGCAGCCAGACTCGTCTATCCCATACAGTATTTATCATGTGTTCATCAAGCACTTACTATGGATCTTGGCACTGAAATACTGCGCGAAAACTCCATTCTGTATACATGGAACTTGCTCAGAAAAGTAGGGGACATGGTCTAGAAGCTTTCATACAGACTTATCAGGTCAAATAAAAATTTCAGAAAAATATTGTGAAATTATTTACATTAACAGTGATCTGATGAACCCAAAAGATAGAAATTTTACTGGCTGGAACAAAGTTTCGATTAAATAGTAATCCTTGAAACTAGGAAACCAAACACTAACCAAAATTCTTCTCGAACTCTTTAATGTGCTTACAGGAAAGAAAAAAAAAAAACCAGAAATCTTACTTCCAAGTGTAGAAATAAATGGGAAATTTAGCATTTACTGTTGCAGAGAACAGGAGGAAGTTCTGTTTTCACAAATATGTGCAAACCTTGAGCCGCATCACACTGCCTCCTTCCCAATGGTCAGTGGCAACACACTCATTCCTTCCTCTTGAGTTTCTTATTCCCTGTCTTCTCATTGTCATCATGAAATAGCTGGCTTCTGTGTTATACTCATATTTAATTTTGTACACCATCTCAACACTTAGTGTCTATCTGTCCTGCCAAGCATTTAAAAACTGCGTTCTGATAACAAGAGGGAATTCCATGGTTGGTGAACCCAGGAAGTCTTCAGGACATCTCAAATACAGAAATGTACAAGTAAACTTGTAATTTCAGAGGATACATTTGAGCTTTCTGTCATAAGCCTCAAAATCCCCACCACTGCCTCATATATTAACCCTGTGCAGACAGCTTCTACCCCATCATCCCATGAACAAGACCATATGTGTATATAATAAAGAATACAATTCATAAGTATTAATTAAATTATATTTAAATATAATTTATATGTAAATTGAAAATATCTGATTCCAACTGTAAATGAAAGGCACAAAGAAAATGAATTTCAAATTATTCTCTTAATAAAAGGCACATTCTGATTTAGACTGCCTTTTTCATTTACAAATATATCAAGTTCTTCAACTAATACTGTTTTATAATGCTGGCTGCATAGAATTCCATCACATAAAGATACCTATCATTAATTCCTTAATATTTCTGCTATACACTTAAGAGTTTATTTTTTTCTGAAACTAAATTGTTGCTTACAGCTCTGATTTCTTTGGAATAAATGTTGAGCGAAACTGGCCCCAAAAGTCATGTTCACTGTAAGAGTATTTGTTTACTGAAAAGTTATGGCAAAAATTAAAACATTAAAACACTGCTGAACTTCTCAATATCTTCATTCACCAGTTGATGTGCAACCCGAGAGAAAGAAAATGTCAACTTTGTTTTTTGTTAGCAATGCCAGTTCTTCTGCCTTTTTAAAAACCAGCAATATAGATTTACTCACAACTCTGCAAATCAGTCTTGCTCAGTCTTAATTTTCCAGCACTGACAAACAGTTTCAGTAGAAACTCGCCCCCCTCCACCGCCCCCATCCGTTTCACTGCATTCCTACCCGCCCTGGTTATTATTCTTCGCTCTCTGGCTTTGTTTTTTTATTTCTTATGCGCATACAGTATACAGCGTCAGTATTAACTGTTCAGGGCAAGGGCCCCATAGGGTCCCAGAATGCTAATGACCTGGCGATGCCTAGTAATTTACCTTACCCTGCGCCTCTCATGGGAGGAAAAGGAAAAACAAGCTAACTGGAGAACGCCGTGGTCAAGCCTTTCAGATTTCGGAAACTGCGACAGAAGGAAAACTCAGCAGCTTTCATGCAAGAAAAACTCAAGCTATTGCCCCAAATGATGCCTGACCGAAGCAGACCCGGAGTTAAGGACCCGGTCGTGTGGCCGCCTGGGTTAAGCGGAGCCACTGCTACAACCTTGAGTCTCTGCTTTTAGGTTGCTGGTTTGCTTTAACCCGAGCCCCGGAAATGATGACAAGGCCAGCGTTGCTTGTTCACTCCTCCTGGCTGAGGTGATAGCCTGCTTGTAGCCACCAAGGCCTTCCCTGGCCGTCGGGGCGGCCTGCGCAGAACACAGCCCGGCCTCAGGGAGCCTAAGGCGGGAGCGGCGCCACAAGGGGTCCGTAGCCGGGGTCAGCTCCTAGTCCCAGACAGCCACACCGAGGCCCCGCCCACCACGTCAAGGTCCCGCCCTACCCTCCTAGGACTGGTCCGTCCCAGTCAGGGCCCCGCCCTGCCTCCTGTCAATTGGTCCATCACTCTCCGCCTCAGGACACTTCTCGGCCCTGGCCACGCCCACCTGCTGTGTGGCCCTTCACACTCTGTGAGTTTGGGATTGTTGCGTCTGGACAAGTGGGCACAAAAGGGACAACTTTGCGCTGCCGGCGCTCAGTTTCCTGCGCATCTCCAGCAACATGACGGCGTCTTCCACCCGGTGCATGGCGCCTCCTCTCCACGGCGAGAGTCGCGCTGCTAGCTGGTGGCGCATCCTGGGCGCCTGTCTGCTGGCTGCAGTGTTTCTGCTGGCCGCCTCCTCCGGTAGGACCTGGAGTGGGGCGGGGCCATTGCAGGCCGTGGCTGGACGAAGCCGCAGCCAGGCTCGCTGCGGGCTCCTTGAAGGGAGCAAGGTCCTGGACCAGCTCGGCGGCGACGAGGGCGCAGTGTCCAGGCAGGGTTCTGGAAGGCAGTTGTCAGTGCCGGCTTTAGACGGATGGGTTTGTGTCTCTGTGAAGTCTCTGGTGCCCAACACGGAGTGGACCTCGTTTACACGTGATCTTGTTTTTGTTTTCTGTCTGTCCATGACCTAAAAGCTATTACCTAAAGGCTTTTAGCATTTCCCCACCTCTTTTCATAAAGTCATAGTCGGAAAAAGTAACCTAAGAATCATTGTTAACCAAGCCTACTGAGAAACTATAGCCTAAAAAAGGATTGATACGTAATATTAAGGTGGTTTGTTTTATGTTTCGTTAAATGGAATACTTTTTAAACGCCGTAGATTACATCCTTATTAAGTAAAATTTACACAAAGGCCAGCTCCTTTACACATCCTGTATTTGTGGTGTTTCTATGCCATTTGATGTATCGGATCCTTTAATGATGCATTTCTTTACTCAGCAACACCCACTCAATAGTATTCACCTTCCATGTCCCAGGTCCTGGGCTGCTCCTAGGAGGAGGATACTAGATAATAAGCAATTGTTCCTACTTCTGGAATCTTTCTCTGTTTGTTTACATGCACACATGGATTCACACACTTGTAAATATAACAGGTGAGGACTTTATTTCAATTGCGGATAACCCCAATGCCTGACACTTAGTAGGCAATCTACATATTTTCTAAGATTTATTGGCAGATATTAATTAAATCTGAACACTAACGAATTTATTGGTAACTAAGAAGTGAACAGGCAGGAAGGGGCACATGCTCCTACTCATCAGACAGACCCAGCAGTGTGGCACCCGCTGTTCCCTAGTCTTCCTTGAAACGTTTCCTTTTCCCTTGCGCCATACTGGACTGTTTGAACCTGGAGAGGCATCTGGGCTGTCACCTGCTTAGAGAGATCTCTGACACACACACCAGTTCACATACCCCCAGTCCATCATGGCCTCCTAAACTGGTTTTCTGTTCTCTACCTCTCTTCTTTTCAAGGCAGAGATTTTACTTGTTTTGTCACACTTCTGGGTCCCAATGGCAGATTTGTTAACCTCAGTATAGAAACCTTTGTTAAGTACCAAAGACATACCATACTTTCTGGGGGCTTAGACCACAGGAACAAATTCCTCCCACTTCCAGAAAAAAGTGCTTTAAAGAGCCATGCTTTCTGGGGTGCTGAGGTAGGATCAGTTGACATCAGGAGACTCTCCAGGACCCCAGTACTCCAGTTGTGCTTCTTAGTGCTTATGAAACAGTTCACTTCTAATAGGGGCCCTGCTTGGTGGCCCACATCCATAAATTCCAGCACAGGGGAAGCTGGCCTTGAGTTTGTGTCCAGTCTGGGGTACATAGAGAAACCAAAAAACAAAAACCACAAAAGAGGAATAGAAATGGGGAGCAAGGGTAAAAGGCAAAATGAAAAGATGTAAACCCTAGCAACAGCAAAGGTGAGAACTCACTAGGCTAGGCAGGGAGGAAAGGTGAATAGAATAAGTGTTTCATTTTTAGAGCAGTTTACTTTTGTGGGCAGACAGTGCTGGGCTTTGAAGGCCTGCTATCTCAACAGGGGCTGACTGGTAATTTGAGGTCATAGAGGGACATTTCTGAAATTGTGAGACCAGTCTTATTCCTCCAGAAAGGGCTGCTTTTCTGGATGAAGTCCTCAGTCTCTTGTTATGAATGGTCTCATCCGCTGATTTTTAATTCTTTTTCTTCTGTCCAGGTAAAGAAACCAATATGACAAATGCTTATGTGGGGTCTCAGCCTCCTTATTCCACATGCTAAGGTTACAGAATTTATGTGGTTAACTGGAGGGTTTCTAGAATATTGGGGAACAGGAAATTAAAGTGGCCAACTCTCCCTTCACCAGTGCATAAAAGCTTTAAAAATTTATCTGCAAAACAAAATTCATAACAGCACAGTCTCCATCATTGCTTTGTGCCTGATGGTGGTGTGAACAGACACTACAAGGGGCTCATTATTGTAAGATTGTGGTCATGTGGGTGGATGGAGTCAGCCATGTCAGCTGTTAGGCTCAAAGGCCTGTGGTAGCTCAGTGAGAGATACATGCTGGGAGAGTCCAAGGGAAGGCACCTGGTGAGTGCTGCCAGGGAAAGGCAGAACATACTTCCCAGGTAGGATGATGGGTGGGTTAAGTCTAAGGAGACAGGATGCAGGATGGTGTGGTCCTCAGGAAAGCACAGTCCATTGTGGGTCTCAGCAACAAAGAAGTACAACAAAATGAGCTACGAAAGGAGACATGGGGTCCCATAGGGACAGGTAACCCAAGGTTTTAGAGTGAGCAGTGGCGAGCAGCTTCCAGGAAGAAGTGCTATTAACAGGCAACCAGGAAGGGCAGGGTGGGAGGAATGGCCTCTGAAATACAGTGATGCCCGCAGGCCTGGAGGGCTGAACATGCTCCCTCTGCTGGGTCTGCCGGGCATGAGCAGAGTCTGGCAGCAGAGACCTTAAAGGTTTGTGGGACATATTAAGGGGCCTCAGGTGTGACTCTGAGGTGCTGTGAAGCTACTGAAGAATATCTGTCTTATTAGAGCCTTGAGGACTGTGACATATAGAATGCTCTGGTCAAAATGTGGAAAATGAATTTGGTGATTCAGCGAAGCCAGTGAAAAGTGAAAGATATCTTGATCGTCATCCATTCCAGTTTGGGGACCAATTCCCCAAAACAAATGTAGCTATTCTTTATCACACGCTTACACTAATAAAAACAAACTAGTTGTGAGGATAGGAGAAACAGCAAGATACAATGGTCCGGTTTCATTGCAGTACCAGTTTTAATCAAATAGCAGGAGTTTCTGGTGGGTATGTGTCAGAGGTAACTTCTGTGAGCAAATTCTAAGGTACACAGTTTGGGGATCAGTCTACAGAGCTAATTCACTTTCCTGAGCACCTCTGGGCCAGCTTACCATACTGTAATCATGTCATCTGTTAGTTACAGGATGGCATTGCAGCTTAAAATGAGTCATTTTGTAAACTATGTGAAAGTTAAGACACCAAAGCTGGGCGTGTGGTGTGAACATCAGAAACAGGAAGGAAATTCAGTGTTCTGGGCACTGTCTTCTGTTTTAGTGATTCCTGGAATGATGTTATACATCCAGAATAGAATTACAGGATGTTTCTTATCCTCCTTTTTCTTATTATAAAATGAAAATATAGTGATTCCAGCACTCTGAAGGCAGAAACAGAAAGATGTCGAGCACAAGGCCAGCGTGGGCCACATGGCAAGTTCTAGATGGCCTGGGCTACACAGTGAGAGTCTGGCTCAAAAGGAAACACAACTCTGCTTGAACTCTTTTTAAAACAATGGTTTAAATTACTATGGCTTTTTATTGTTGCTTTAGGCCACCTCCCAAGGAATGTTCAGAGCTCAAAGTTAGCAGGGTTGAAATAAAAACTTTGTCAACAGATGGACTGCAGAACAGAGTATAGATAAAATACTAGACGGGACATCAGGTAGTTTTAGAATTCAGAACATGACATGAGATGAGAGGACCATCTCTCATATTTAGGGGAACAGACCTTTGTCCTTGGGTCCTTAACTCACGAGAGGCATTAGGATTCTTTTAGCAACTTAGGCTTTTGCTTAGTGTCATCTTATTATACATCATTGTCCTAATGGATTTGTTAGGTTTACAAGTACACAGATTAATTGAAAGGAAGATGAATTGCTGGAGTGAAAGGCACCACACTATATGAACAAAACAACCTCCCCCAACAGAACTAAAACTGAAAAGCACAAAATATAGCCTTTACTCTAGGGATATGTGGGATTAACAGGCCATAGCCATCACAGGGAGCTTTCCAAGGAAATTAATGATATAAGGATCAAGAGGCAAGCTTCAACTGTGTTGTATGTTCAGAAAGCACAAAATCCTAAAATCCACACACATACAAATAAAATTGAAAGTTTATGTAAGAAAAGCCCGTGTAGTAAACTTTGATGTTTCAATGACCTCTCTTTACTTGTAAGGTGCTCAGTTCATCTATATGAAATGAGTGGACTGAAAGGGTATATTTTAAAATATTTGAGTCTATATTCATTTTGATCTTGGAAAGCTACAATGCTTATTTGATAATTCCCTTATCACAGCATTTCTTGTGTATGCACAAGGGTATGAGTTGTAATAGAAAAGGAAGACACTTGCCCTGACCTCTAGGGATTTGTCTTCTGACAGACAGCTGAGCCTGGAGTGGCAAGTTGTCAAAAGGTTCGATTTCAGCCTATGGAAGAGCTATTGAAGCAGAGTACAGTGCAGCAGAGGAGACTTCTTAGAGGAGAGGTTAATTTTGAAAGGAATTTAGAAAAAGGTGGAAGAAGATGCATACTTGGATGTATGTTTTTAAGGCCAAAACCATGGATGGCATCCTTTGGTTTACTGTCAAATGGAAATTCAGTTTATTCTGAAATAAATCACAGGCTGCTTGTTTATTTGTTTCAAAGGGCCATTCTTCTATTATTTTCCTCACTTGAGTAAAAATTCCAGAACAATTTCCAGTGAGCTTGCCATTCTTTCTGCCCAACATAACATCAACCAGTCTCTAATTGGTGAAAGTGGCATTAATATTTTATCTTCAAGTTCTTACTCCTTTCTCCCTAGATGCCTGTGTGCTGCCACCACCATTTGAAGCTATGGAGCCTATAAATCCTAAGCCCTACTATGAAATTGGGGAAAAAGTAGAGTATAGATGTAAAAAAGGATACCTTCGTCAGCCTTTTTATCTCATGGTTGCTACCTGTGAGAAGAATCACTCGTGGGTTCCTATTACAGATGACGGTTGTATAAGTAAGTAAATATAACCAAGTATTGGTTTTATTTGTTTTTTTCTTTTTGTTTGCTCTAGAGCTTTTCACACATTTTAGAGTACATGTGTCACTACTGCAATGGTAATTTTTTCATATGAAACAAGAGTTTGGTTTAATTGTGCTTTTTCAAGCTTTGAGAAATTTCTAAGGAAAATGTTGCTTGGCAATTGGTTACCTGTGTAATTGTGAACTTTACATTTGCCCTTATACTATGGTAGTTAAATAAAGATGATAATATTCCATGAATTCAAAATAACAATGCAAAATTTTGGATTTGATTCAAGTACGTTTGGAAACTGGATTTTAAAATTTCACAATTCTTTTCTTTCAGAAAAGCAATGCACATATCTAAACCCTCCTCCAAAGGGCAGAGTAGAATACATAAATGGAACTCGCACATGGGGTGATATAGTTCACTTTTCTTGTGTTGAGGGGTAAGTCATTCCTTAGCAGAAACAATAAACATTACTGGTTCCATTTGTTTTGCTGCTGTTCTTAGGCATTCATGTACATTTCCTTTAATTTTGTACTCTATATTGTTAGCCCAACAATCCTTAGGTTCTTATGCACACAAAAAGTTGTCCAATAAGGAACTAAAGTACAAAGAAATCAAAGCTGTACAATTCTTGTTATATTGGATAATAAGACTACTGTAAGCATTAAGAGTAAAGTAAAGGTAGTGACTTCATCCTTCACAACCAAGAAACGGAGGATAGAAAACACCAACCAAAGCTGTTCTCCTTTCCAGAGAAATACCATATATACAGTGCTATTAAAGTAAAATAGCCAAGGAGAAGTAACAGACAAGTAGAATAATTCATGATAATGACAGTGGGGCTCCAGAAAGAGGAGAGATTCCTGGGAATTTAAATCATTAGGGAAAAACATTTTTTAAAATCATTAAGGAAAATTTCATTGGGTCATAATCCGAGCTTTTCCTAGAAAGATCTTCTGACCTAAATAATACTTAGAGGAGCTTAATTCTCTAGACAGTTTTAGGAGGCACCATAGGCATCCTCTTTTGAAGAGCAAGTGAGCAAGAGAAACTTGACGTGGTTCGTCCACATTGAAGTAGCTGTCAGTCATAAAGCAGAGACTTGGATCCAGACAGCCAGCAGCAGGGGCTCCTCCTACTGGGTCCCTGTCCTCACTGGGCACAGGGAGGGAGCGAAGAATGTGTAGAGTGATTGCAGGAGAAAATAAGCAGACCAGGCTGGCAGGCAATTAGTAGGAGATTTATTTAGGTATTATTCCTCTTGAGTATCTGTTCATACTGAAACTCTTCCTTTGATTAAATTGCAAGTTTATTTGGCACTTTCATTGTATGTTTTTTACAAAACCCATTTCAGACTGCCAAAGTATAGCAAGACAGTTATCTAAACATTTCCTTCACTATTAGGTGTATCTCATTAATCACTAAAGGAAACAGTAACTTTTTCTTTTCTCATTTAGTTTTTATGTATCTGGTATTGCAGCACTAAGTTGTGAGCTTAGAGGAGATAACGTGGATTGGAATGGCAGGGTTCCCACATGTGAAAGTAAGTAAATTCTCTTTTTTTAAGATTTAGGGGGTCACAGGACCCCTTTATGCATTTAGATGAGCATGTACCCCAAAGAGTTTTTCTTTATGTGGGTGATATCTATTAATATGGATGATATTTGGATTAAAGTAGAGAAGTTTTAGAAAGAATTATTTACTAATTCATTTTAAGGACAAAACATATACGTTAACATGCACAACATTTTTATGTAAAATTTCAAAAGAGAATATTGTGAACCATCAATTTAAAAGAATGTATTTATAAATTATCAAGCATCTCTAAATTAGCATTTAAGTTTATTTTTAATCACAAGTATGTTCTGTTATTAAATTATGAGCATCTCTTACAGGAGTAATCCTCACATGATCTTGCAAATAAATATAAATACCTTTAAAAAATAACTTTTGTTCCGAAAGTTCATTTCTATATTAAAAGTTTCAATTGGGGACAGTATATTGCTTCATAGAAAATCTACTAGATGGACACTGAAGTCACAGAACTAATTTATAAAACTCCTATATTGATGAATTTATTAAAGATAGTTCCAAAAGCTTTATTATCTTAATTTTTTTCTTCACTTATATTTTCATTTTTTCTTTTTCTCTCTTTTTAAAAAGAAGTTCTGTGTTCACCACCTCCAAAAATACAGAACGGAAAATACACCTTTAGTGATGTACAAGTATTTGAATATTTTGAAGCAGTAACTTATAGTTGTGATGCTGTCCAGGGACCAGATAAACTTTCACTTGTTGGAAACGAAGTGCTCTACTGTGCAGGCCATCAAAAATGGAGCAGCGCAGCTCCTGAATGTAAAGGTAATAATCTTTTGATGTATTTGCTTCTTCATTTCTAATTACTATGGGAATATTTTGTGAATAGTTTTTGTTTTTACCTACAAGTAAGCACACACAGAAAAAAAGCCAAATGTGTTTCCTCCTCTTATACAAGTAGTTTCTAATTAAATTTAATATAATCCAAGTAAAAAATATTTCTGTTTTAAGAGTTCCCTGTTCTTCATAGTATATTTAATATATTGTGAACTACTACGTTTATGCATTAGGGTGTTTTGGTTTGAAACAACAACAAAACATTTAAAAATAAAGTGCTGTTTTGTACCACAAGAATATGAGTTGTACCTATTGATAAGGATAAAGTTGATTATAATAGAATAACTCTCTTACTGGATATTGAATAGTAAACTCTGAACAAAAAATTTTAACCCTCAAAGGTTTAAGGCACTATAGAGTGTCCAAAAGTATGGTGACACTGGATGGGGTTCACCCCTTGAATCAAAAGTACCTGAACAGCAGCAAAATATATGCTCTTTTCAAATATACATGTGTGTTGGTAACTTTTCTCTCATTGCTGAGACAAAATACCAGAAGCCCAAAATTTAGGAAGGAAAGGTTTATTTAGCTCATAATTTGTGGAGATTTCAGTTTATGATCTGCTGGCTCCAAAGTACGGTGGTTCATGACAGAGGACAACAATTCATGGCATCAAAAAACAGCAAAAGCAAAAAGAGCAAAAAGGGAGGAATACAGAGAGAAGACTTTCTGTCCCTTATATTGTATGTAGGCCACCTACCTTAGAATGGGTGGAGTACCCACAACCATGAATCAATCACAAATTCTAGAAGCCTGCCCCCATGACCCCATAAGGCTTTGGGGGCATCCAAACACAAAAAATAATGTTCTGCCCATGGCCCCCCTAAAGACTCATGCACGTCCTTTATGCACAAGGCATTTAGTCCATCTCCAAGAGCTGCCAAAATCCTAACAGTTTCAGCATTGCTGAAAAGTCTAAGTCCCAAGATGTAAGGCAAACTCTTAGCTTCAAACCCCTGTACAAATGAAAACAAACATTTCCAACATGCACTGGTATAAGATAAACATTTCCATTCCAAAAGTTACAAACAAGGAAATACAGAGAAATGGGACCAAAGCAAATCCGAAATTCAGCAGGACAAACATTAAGCCCTATAGTTCCATATGGAACATCCACAGCAATCTGTAGTAAATTGTGAGCTCCAAAAGGCTTGTGTGGCTCCACTCCTGTGGCACTGCTGGTGGTTGTAGCTCTCACAGCTTCTGTCTTGGGCCTACTCTGCAGTTTTCCTCAGACAATCCACATTTCTGGCTTTTCCAACCTTCTGGGTTCTCCACTTTACCTTTGGTTTCACACTTACAACTTCACACACTGCCGGGCTCCCAGGCATTCATATTCTGCGTGAAATTGAGTGGAAGCCTTTTTAATCTCAGAATTCTTGCATTCTGCATGCATCTAAAACCAACATCAAGTGGATGATGCAAAGGTGCACTGCCAGCTGGAGCAGTAACCAGGCTTACCTCTCTCTTGGCCGTGGAGGTCGAGTACTTGGATCACTTGGCACTCTGAACCTCACTGTTAGTAACATATTCTGTACGCTTCTGCCATTCTGGAACATTAGTGTTCTGTGGCTTTCTCCTCAAAGCAATGTCTTTTTACTTTTGCAGTTTTGAGGTTATAAAATGTGATGTCTTGCTGTTTCTTGTGATGCCCTTAGGCCATCATTTATATTCTGCTCCCTCTCAACAATGAAGCTGTCCTTTGATCTATCTTTGCTGTCCACGGCGTTACTGGAACTTCCTTTCTGGACAAACTCACAACATTTTAAATCATCCTGCTAGGCTCTCTGCTCTTTGTTCTTAACATAAATCAGGCTAGAAGCCCCCAACAATAGCCATACCACAGCCTTAGTATTTGACTACTTTGAAACTTTTTCTGCCAGACTGATTAGTCCACTGTGCTTAATCACAGTCTCAGGCAGTCTCTGGACATGAGCAAAACGCAGACACAATTTCTTGTAAGCCATAACACATATCATCTAGAGTCTGACAGCTGATGCAGTCCTTCCCAGCAGAAACCTCCCAAACCTGGTCTTTACTGGCAGGCTTTCTATCAGCCTTCTTTTGATCTCTGACCAGAATCTCCTGTATAGAACAACCTAAGGCATTCCAGCTCTACTCTTTCAGACAACATCTCAGAATCTTTCCAAATTCTTCCTACAAGCCATTCCCAAAGGCCTTTGAATCAAATGGTCAGGTAGAGTCATAGCAAAACCCCACTTCTCTGGGACCAAATTCTATCTTGGTTAGTTTTCTTTCATTGCTGAGACAAAATTCCTGACACCCAAAATAAAGGTAGGAAAGATTTATTTAGCTCACAGTTTGTGGAGATTTTAGTCCACAATCACCTGGCTCGAAGGCAGGGTGGTGTAGCACAGAGAAAACAGTTCATGGTAGTAGAAAACAGCAAAAAGGGAAGGAGAGCAAAAGATGACTCTTTCTGTCCCTTATATTGTATATAGGCTACCCACCCTAAGGTGGGTGCAGCATTGGACCATGAATCAGTCACGAACTCTAGAAGCCTGGCCCCATGATGGCATGAGGCTTTGTGGGGACATCCAGATGCAAAACATAACAACATTTAACATCTCTAAGACAGAAAACTGTCCTAGCAATAAGAGCATTCTAAAAAAATACTTAAAAGTTAAGACCAGTATATTATCTGGTCACAATGGAATGAAAGCAGAAATCAATGACAAAGATATCAAGGAAAATCCCAAAATAATTGAAAATTATGCAACACACCTCAAAATAACCCAAAATAACTCAAAATAGCTGAATGAAGTCCGGTAGGAAATTAGAAAGTGTTGTTAATAGTGCAAAAATAAAAAACATATATCAAAATTTTGGGAAATACAGCTAAAGCAATGCTTAGGAGGAAATTTATAGCATGAAATAACTATGTTAGGAAAAAAGTCATACATTGATGTTCTAAACCTGTACCTTAAGAAAACTTTAGCAAATTCAGCCCAAAGCAAGCAAATTGAAAGAAATGATAAAAACAGACCTGCTATCAATGAAACTGAATAGAAAAAAAAATCAATAAAACCAACTGCTGGTTCTTGGAGATAAATAAAATAGATAAAGCTACAGCCAGATAGACCAAAGGAAAAAAAACACAAATCACCAGTACTATGAATGAAAAAAAGGACATCCTAAATATCTTGTGAACAAGGAAAGCATAAAGGAATATTGCAACAAATATTACATAAAATTTAATGCCTTTAAATTTACTGGCTTAAATTAAATTGACAAATTTCTTAATAGTATCTAAACACCAAAACTCTCTCAGAAATAGCCTGAATAGTCCTATATCTATTACCGAAATAGAATTTGTCTGTGATCTTTCTCTAAAGAGAACTGCAAGCCCAGATGGCTTCATGATGAATTTGACAAAACAATTAAGGAGTTATCAATAGCGATTCTATATAAACTTTTCAAGAAAATCCAGGGGGGCAAAACTTCTCAACCCATTTTATGAAGACAATATCTCCTGGACAAAAACATAAAAAGTTACAAACAATATCCTTGATGAATATCAAACTAAATATCCTCAACAAAATATTAACAGATTAAATCATGTGGTACATTAAAAACAATAAATCTTTAACAAGTAGATTTTAGCCTAGGGCTGCAAGGTTATTTCAATACAAAATTTAATAATTTATTATATTGAGAGAGCACAAAGAAGAAAATTGTATCATCTTACTAGATACCAAAAAAGAAACAAACAAAAACCCTGTTTGATAGAATTCATCATCTTTTCATGATAAAACAGGCTAGGAATAGAAGATAACTGTCTCACTCCGTCTAAAAAAAGACCATCTACAAACTCACATAGCTGATGCATACTTAATGGTGAAAGACTCGTTTCCTTCTAATTAAAAAACAAACTAGAGCAGAAGCAAGGCAAGGATATGCACTATCGTCTCAACATTTAACATGTTATTGAGGTCCTACCTAGTGCAATAAGGCAAGAGAAAAAAATAAGGATACATATTGGAAAGGAAGAAACCAAATCATCTCTGTAAACGCGATGCCATGAAACACCCATTAGAAGAGCTGACCTTTAAACACGCACAATCCCAACCACACAGCGTACTGGGGAGGATATACGACTCACCTGGGACTCTCATAACTTTGCTGGTAAGAATTCAAACAGGCAATCTGAAACACACTTGTTGACTTAAAATCATCCATGTACATACAACTCACTAACACAAATGGGTCCCAAATGGCTGAGTAATGCAAGCCATTCTCTAAAGGCCGTATAATTCCGTCTATATGACAATCTGAAAAAACAACACTGTTGTGTTAGGAAGAGTTTGGGGTTGGCGGTGGTCAGTGGGGAGGTGGGGCAATCACAAGTGTGTGTGTGGAAAAGTTCGGAGAGGGCCAGAATTTCTTACTGACTGCAGCAGTCTCTCTGATTTTCACTGCGTCTGTGAAACGCATCCACGTGGAAACTTGAAAGGGTGAATTTTACTGTAAATTGTACCAAACTTTAAAAAAATCATCAGCTGGACCTGGACAGAAGTGAAATCATCACTGAACATTTTTTAAAAATCCAACATGATTTAAGAAAATAATTTTAGAGGCAAAGAGAATCTTACAGACCTGTGGGAGAATATCCATGTAAATGAAGTTTCAGAAAAATAGCTTAAATAGTGGCCAGAAAATTATCCAAATTTGATTCAAAACAGCAAGCATAGATTCAGTAAGTTCAGTGAAAACTTGGGCAGAATGAATAATTTTTTTTCTTTTAAACTCAAGACCTTGAGCCTGCTAGGCAGGCAATTTTGCCACTGACCTAAATCCCCAGCCCTAAATTATTAAAATTTAACCAAAAAGAAAAAAATGGAAAAATGAACCTTGTAGTTTGGTAAATTTTACTAACTTGGTAAAACTACTAAAAACAAAAGATACCAGAAAAGCAGCCAGCCGGAAGAAAACACCACCAATGAAAACCTGCGTTACATTTGAAAGGGAAGCAGCTGCAGGATCTGCTAAGACCCACAGAGTTCGCCTAAGAAATCACTGAGGCCAGAAGGCAGCAATGTCTCGCATGTGCTCCAAGAAAAGACACTTAACTTGGAGTTCTGGATCAAGGAGAAATCCTTCCAACCAAACTGAAGGTTAAATGAATGAAATTTTTTTTTTTTTTGTACTAGGGATCGAACTCATGACCTTGCACTTGCCAGGCAGGTGCTTATGACACTGAGCTAAATCCCAGCCTCCCCCACTTTTTTTTTTTTTTTTAATCAATACCGGGGATCGAACTCACAACTGTGCACTTGCTTGCAAGGCAGGTGCTTATGCCGCTGAGCTAAATTTTTAATTACATTTTAAGTCAAATGAATGAAAACACTAAATTACAGGCATTGTAAAGGAAGCTCTTGGAGCTAGAAGAAGTGATGCTGGGTGGAAGTTCTGTTCTATAGGGAAGGGAAGAGCTTTCTTGTGTCTGACCCAGCCTGAAAATGCCTGCATGCTGACCTCCCTCCCTTACTGTCCCCAACCCAGTGGCTTCTGTTCCCTTTCCCCAAATTCTCCCAAACCACTCATGGGCCCTAAAATCAACCTAGTGAATCATGACTGCAGTTTGCTTCTTAAGAAACACAATAGAATGAGAAATAAGGAAGTATACTAGTATATGGTGAAGTAATGATCTTAGGTTTTATTTTGGGCCTGTGCGCTTGTATATTGGTTTATAACATAAAAAGTATTTCTTTATCTCTGCGTTGAAACCAGCAAAGATTTACAAAATGCTGTCTGAAGTCCATCAGCCTTTCTATACCTTGAAATTCCGACTTGTATTTGTTTCTACATGAATTTCTCTTCGCACTTCTTTGTACAACTAGCTTCTTTTCTATTTTTAAATTTCAGTTCAAGTATGCCTTTCCAGAAAAGTCTTTTTCTTAGGTTTGCAAAGAGCAGGGTAACATTATCAGTGTCATCATGACCTTTAAAAAATATCCCCAGAGCTAAAATATGTTTAAACTTAGCCTGAATTTGTCCAGCCTTCCTCAAAACTTGTGGGGTGGGGAATGAATAAAATATGATAATCTGTTTTGTGAGGAGCAAATTACCAAGTTTCTCTGTTTACCTAGAATTAAAATGCTTTATATTAAAATTTGAAATGTAAATTTTGTTTGTTGGTTTGAGATAGGATCTTGCTGTATAGTTCAGGCTGACCTTGAACTCACTATGTAACCTAACAGCTGGCCTCAAACTCATGGCAGTCCTCCTGCCTCAGCCTCCCAAATCCTGGGATTGCAGGCATGTGCCACCATGCCCAGTTCACCATATATTTTTTAATTTTATTTTCAAACATGTTCTATTTCTTATCTCTTTGCTCTTACTGCAAATTAATACTTTGTACTAATTTTTCTGAATCTTATGTTACAATAAATTTCCATTAAATCCTGGGTTTTTTTTCTTTCCTTCTTTTCAGTGGTCAAATGTCCACTTCCAGTAGTTAAGAATGGAAAACAGATATCAGGACTTGGACAAACATTTTTCTACCAAGCCACAGTTACATTTCAGTGCCTCCCAGGTTTCTACTTCAATGGCAGCAGCACAGTTGTCTGTGGCAGTGACAATACGTGGAAACCCTCTATCCCAGAATGTCTTAAAGGTACAAAGGTTGTCTGTTTTCCCTTCTTGTTTTTAAAAGAGTTTTTAAAGAGTTTATTCCTTTGACATAAAATATCAATTATACAGAAAAGCTTAGGAACAGACTTTGCCAGCTCCGTTTGCATTCATTTTTGTGTCTGACATCTGTCATAGAATTCACACAGAACTCTATTGTGATTTTGCATGTTTTTCTAGGGTTCTTAGTGTGTTATATCATCGCATGGGTATATGCTTGTCTTGTTCAGTATTTTTATGTATAAAATGTGAACTCTAAGTAATTTTTAGAGTAAGCTGAAGTGTGGACATTTTTATCTAGTGAAAACAAGAATGACAGGCATCGTTCATGTAAGTGCAATGAAAACTAAGTAACTGACCCATCTTTATTGTTATTTTGTTTTCCAGTGCTGCCTTCTCCCATGGAAAACCTCCAACTTTCAGTTATTCAGGTTTAATAACTTTCTGCTTGTATCATTTCAAAAATCTTTTAAGTGTCTGGTGAAAATGCTGACAATAACTCCCAAGTGTTTGATCCAATTTCCGTAATTTTCTTTTCCAATGTCAACTTCCCCCAATACAAAACCTCCACCTTCTACTGTCTCAGATTTAGTAGCATCCTGTTTATAGTCTTTGAAAATCCTTTAAATTCCTGTGATTTTTTTTCATATATCCTTTAAATTCCCAGTAAGGTCTAATCATAGCGGGAAGATTATTAATCTACCTGTTCATTCATAATACTCGTAAGTTTTACTACTTGTTTTTAGTAATAAGATGAGGATGAATATTTTTACAGCTGTCTTTGATAGGGATTCTAATGTTTGCCGTAACTCACAATTACAAACAAGAATGCAAACTTGAGATCAAGCTATGTAAACTTTGAATGTGTTTACTCAGATGCAAAATGACTTAGTTCCTTCCTTACTGGCTCACAGTGAGTCTAACATGAAATGCGTTGCGACACCTAGCGCAGGAGGTGGAGGAGAGACTCCCAAAGCCAGCTAAGCTGTGTTCTGCCACCGAGTCATCAGTGCAGAGGGGAATCTGTTTGCTAGTGTATGTTTTCGGTGTCTTCGCCTTTGGTAGTTTATTCTTTTTTTACGTGATCTGTTAACACCTCTGCTGGTACTTTTCTCCCCCAGAATTAGGTTTCCTTTCCTGGAACGCGAGCGGTTTATTTCTCCTATGCAGGCGTCTCAAGCGGCCGTCCGTGCTCACTCCAGAACAAGACCTACCTTGCTGCTCCCTTTGTCACCTAAAGCCATTTTTCTTTTTTCTCTTTATTGAGCAGTTTTATTTGGCGACAGAAATTAAATTGTATAGCAACTGACAGGTAGGAAAGCTCTCATTTACTGAAACGGATGGTTTCTTGCAGGGTCTGCTGCTGTAAGGTTGGAGAAAGTGTCTCAGGTGAGGGAAGGACTTGTCTTCCTGGCTCCAGGCGGCCCTGACTGCCCAGCAGGCTAAGGGAGCAGTAACAGTAGCCACGGAGAGCTGATGGCCAGGGCAGACGGTTGACAGGTCTCTAGAAGGGCTCTGCCTACCCAGCTGACATCATTTCTATTAGATTCCCTTGGTTTAATGTGGATACTGAACTAAAAGAAACCTCAACGACCGACCGAGCGGGCTCCTAGCTCTTGCATATGTGTAGAAGAGCAGGCATTTATACGCGCTAAGATAGTAGTTACCTTTGTATAATTCCTACAAGAACCCAGCGCCCTCTCCGGACTTGCGTTACGGGGTTGCAAGGGTGGGACGGGAGAAGGCTTTTGCGCAGACTGATGATGAGTCGACAAAATGAAGGCTGCGAAGGGAAGCGGGAAGGTCACCCCGCCCGCTCGCGCCTGCTGCGCACACGCCGCCAGGGGGCAGCGCCACCTTGCGGGCTGGAGGTATTGATAGGCTGCTTTGAAAGCCTTGATTTAAAGGATGTGTAACTGCCAACTCAGCTTGGAGCTTGAAAGATGAGGAGAGAGCCGATTGCAAGAAAAAGCTTAGGAAGAAAAGAGACCACGGGAGTCTTTTTTAAAAACAAAAATATCAAAATGCCTGATAAAATCATATCTTATCATCAGTTAGGGAAAAACTGAATCAACAGCAGTATGTAATGGTGTTAAGGTGGATTTTAATGGTGATTTTTAATGTGAAAAAGATGCCTAAGAAATACTAAATGAAAACCATTAAGATGTAAGTTATGTAGTGTGATGTGACTGGATTTTTTCACTTGAAAAAGGTACATATGGTTAGCACATTACTTTCATGATTTATTATTAACTTCTGAATTTTCATTATAAAATACAAAGCTGCTCCGGACACAGTGGCACATGCCTAGAATCTCAGCACTGAGGAGGCTGAGGCAGGAGCACTGCTATGGGTTTGAGGCCAGACTGGGCTTACCTAGTGAGTTCAAGGCCAGTCTAACTACATAGCAAGATCCTGTTTCAAAAAAGAGAAAAATACAAAGCTGTATTTTTGTAGTGAGCACAGATTCTTTTACAATGAGCACTTTTGAGTATACATTTTTACATACTTGGGCAAATACGGATGTCGTCCAAAAACATACACAGATAAAATTCCTACAACTAGAACTAAATTGCAAGATTTAGACAGTCCGTATATTTTTCATTTTGGTACTATTTTTAAAAAGTGAAATATCAAAATTAAGTGCATAGTTCTGTATTGAGACTAGAACTGACAGAGAATTGATAGAGTCACATTTGTTTTTCAGGTCCCAAGCCTACTCATCCCACCAAGCCGCCAGTTTATAATTATCCAGGTTTGACAATTATCTTTCTTATGTAGTTTAAAATCTTTTAATGATAGATTTAAAAATCATATTTTGCTTTAGTTTGTATTTCTTTGGCACTGAGGCTCCACTTTTTTTAGTCTGCACTCTTATTTATTCACTTACCTGAGACGGAGCCTCACTATTTGCTTAGTCTGTCCTCAGACTTCTAGGCTTACGTGGTCCTCCTGCCTCAGCCTCCTGAGACGATGAGACGCTGTGTTCAAAGGTCTACATTTATTTATGTATGTCTTTTTTTGGGGTCCACTTTTCCATTGGTTTCCCAAAGATTTTTTTGTTCATTTTAAGAGTTTTTATATATTAAAACACCTTTTATGTAAACATTTTTCCACATTTTCATTTTTTCCTTGTACTAGATTTTTATACTGAGATTGATTTTTATAACTTTTAATTATATTAGTTCACAAATATTTTCATAAAATTACAGATGTATAGAATAAAAGATTAGTTATTTCTCTAATTCATTATGTCTAAGCCAATCACTATTCATAGTTTAGGGTTTCTTTTCATCTATTTCTGTATGCCACCATGCTTTTATGGGTTGGCACTGTTTCTTAAATCAAGATGACATTATGCAGTACTTAATATTCCACAATTTGGGCTTTTTTCAACTTAGTGCCTTGTACTGACGGTCGTATAGATTGATTCCCACCCATTCTGATGATGACTTAAATATATGCATATTTACTGAACTACTCCTCCTGTCAGCGATCATTTTTATGTTCAGGAGTTTCACATCAATAGATAATCAGGTGTACAATCTTTTCCCTAGTGGCTGTGAGTTTTATATTGTTCTTGTAGGATCTCTAGGTTTTTCCGATGCTGAAATCATGTAAAATTTCAACCACGTGTGCGCGACTTCATTCTTCGCATTTAAATTGTTGACATACTTGAAATTCACAGTGGTCTACGGAATGACCATAGGCAGAGACTACAGGTCATGGCCCTCCACCCCCAAGTCAGGAACCACCAGTTGTGGGTAAATTGTTACCCCCTGCTGGTCTAAACTGCCACTTTCATCAGCCACAATATTCGTAATTATTCTGCTCCTTTCTCTTTTAGACTCTGCTCGTTTTTGGGCCAGAATTCTTCCTCTTCCTCTCCCTCCTCCTCCTCCTCTTCCCTCCTCCCCCTTCCTGCTTCTTCTCCTTCTCCTTCTTCTTCTTTCTTTTTTTTTTTTACTGCAACATTACAGGATTTTAATTATTATAAATGCTTCCTTATCAGATATTTCTGGACCACGCTCGTTAATTTTCCAGGTCAATTTTTTGTTTGCCAATTCAGTGACATTATAGTGCAACCGTTTTTGAACATCCGAAACTAAATCCACTACGTAATTTTTCCTTTCTCTTTCTCCCCAAAACCAGTATTTTATGTTAGATTTTTCCTATTCTTAGTACTTAAAAAGACAGTGTTCTTCTAATTCTTGCTTATTTCATTTGACATATTGTTTTAAAGTATCTTGTAATATAGCAGAACTCTCTTACTTTTTATGGCTGAATAATATTCCATTGCACATACACACAGTATTTCATTTATTCATCTTTTGGTAGACATTTGGGCTGGACTGTTTCCACTTTTGATTAAAACTAGTGTTTTGAACATGGATGTACGAGTGTCAGTTCTAAAGTTTCCATTTTCAAGATGGATGCCTAGGACTAGAACTTCTGGGTCCCTGCATGATTCTGGTCTATTTTTTAAAGAACTGCTACACCACCCTTCCCAGCATCTGCAGTGCATCACATACTCGCCGACAGGCTTTCCACATCTTGCCATGCCTGTAACATGGCACTGGCTTTGTTTTGTTCTCATAACAATGGCCATCCGTCATAGGCTGTCCAGGCAGCGCCCTTTATAAGGCAGGCTGGAGGGTCAGCTGCGCAGGTGCTGGCGTTTGCCAAGGGCCCTCGCCCAGGTCACAGCGTGGTGGACCCATCACACAGCCAAGGGCAATGAGACAGGAAGGGAGAAGGAAAGCCAGTGAGTGCAGGCGAGAGGGAGGTCACGGCCATTGCATGCGACCTGCGCCCCTGCTGAGAGGACTCCCCTGGAGCACTTACACCCTCGTGATCTAAACACCCACCAGGGGCCCACACCCCACTCCACGCACCACGCCAGCAACTCCATTTCAACCTGAATTTGGAGAAGACATGCATTCAGTTCAACAGTGCCCCCTAGGAAGCAGGAAGTGACAGTTTATCAGGGTTTTATTTGCGTCCCTAAGGATCCCTTACACAGTGGTCTTGTCCCATGCTCATTGGCCATGGGTCTATCTTCTCTACAGGAAGAGCTATTCAAACTCTGGCCCATTTTCGAATGGGGTTTGCAGTCACTGAGTTTTAAGAGTGCTTCCTATATTCTGAATTTAATCTCTTATGGTTGCAGAAAACAGACCAAATACAGGAAAAAAATGGCACTTAGGAGGTTTAAGAGGCAGTTTATTACATCGGTGGGCTTTACTGGGATTTCTCCCAAAGAGTCAGCTTTGCCCAGGATGGGGGAGGTGAGTTTTAGTGCTTTCCTAAGGAAAGCACAGGGAGGTAGAGGCAGATTTAGTGCTTTTAAGATTGGAAGGTTGGGTGACATCATGGGTTGCTAAGAGAGTTTAAAAATTTTAGGTTACATTGTGAGGCCATCAGTTATACAAACCATGGGTTATAGAGGAAGAAATGTCCCATTACATTTTAAGTGACATTGCAAGTCATAGTTATACAAAGGCAGTAAAAGCAGGGTTACACAAAGGAGCATTTCAAGTTACATATTAAGGCCTCTGTTAGACAGCTTACACAAAGGAAGGAATGTTTTACTGTCAGATTGGTCCGGACTTGTCTGCTTGGTCTTGACTGGCTTTCTTGGCAGACTTTGATTTAAAATTTTAAATTCCTTTTCACTCTCAAATATAGGACTAGCAAATATTGCCTCCCCTGGGCATTGTCTTTTCATTCTGTTAATATCCACTGGTGTCCAAAAACTTTTAATTCCGTTGGAGTTCTTTTGGCCATCTTGATGTCATCATTGCTTGCGCCACATCCTGAAATCACTGCTGGATCCAGTTTCATGAAGCATTTTTCTGCTGTCTTTTATACTTTTGGATCTTATAAGTAGGTTAACCATTTTGAGTTAGTTTTTGTACATGAAGTGCCCAACCTCTTTCCTTTGCCTGTGGATATCCAGATTTCCCAACACTACCCTTTCCTTGACTCTTCTGAGCCCTTTTGAGAATGATTTAATAAAATATGATGAGGTTGTGTTCCAGATTTCTTGCCCCTTATACAGTGTCACTCCCTTTGGATGACTGTAGTTTTGTAGTTAAGTTTTGAAACCAACCAATGTGAGAGTTCTGTCAACTTTGCTTGTGTGTAGCTTTAGGATAAACCTTGATGTTTCTGCAGAAAGCATCAAAGGAGTTTGATAGGGGTTTCAATATAAATTTGCAGATTGCTTTGTGTTTATTGGTAGCTTAAAAATAATGTCTTTCAGTTCGTGCAAACAGAATGTCTTTGCATTTCACGTTTTGCAGCAGTTTTGTAGCGTTTAGTGTACAAGTTTTGCCTTCTAGGTTAAGCTCATTCCTCAGTATTCTGTTCTTTTTGGTGCTGTTTTAAGTGAAATTGTGTTCTTAATTCCCATTTTGGATCTTTTATTTTAGTGTGCAGAAACATACCTGATTTTTGTGTATTGATTTGATATCCTGCAATCTTGCTGAATTCCCTTTTCGTTTTGAGTGTGTGGTGTATGTGGAATTCCTAAGGCTTTCTACGTAAAAGATCCTACAATATGTAAACAGAGATAGTTTCCATTTGGAAAGGAAGAAGTAATTTCTTACCTAGCTGCTGGCTAGAACTTCCAACACTGTGTGGCATAGAATTGGCAAACACGGGTTTCCAGCCTGCCCCTGATCTTAGAAGGGAGGCTAACGGGGACAGCACAGAATGTGATGCTGGCTGTGGCTTGTTCTTGTATGGTCTCACGCTGGAAAGGTCTCCTCCCATTCCACACTGACTGCTAAAGCATTTACTGAGCCCTATTCTATCTTTAGTCTAGGATCACTAAATACAAAGACTGTTTCTGAGATTATATTAAAGGAAAATTTGTATGCTAACTGCCATGTTACTGAAGGGTATGTTAATGGACAGGGCAGGAAGAAGAAAGCTAGTAATATTGAATATAAATTTTTAAAACTTTGTGATACTACTTAAATAGTGACACAGTTTATAGGGAAAATGAAATTTTAAAGGATTTTGTACAAGGTGAAAAAAATCAGTGTATCGATTTAAAGAATTTTAAGCTTTATTTATTCTTTTGTTTTGTTTTACTTAATCAATTTCCTTCTCTTTTTTTCCCCTAGGATATCCCAACCCCAGAGAAGGAATATTTGACCAAGAATTAAGTTAGTATTTTGATTTTTAAAACTAACTCTGCATTATGAGATCACACAGTCTATACAGAAATATTATATATTCCATATTCCATATATACTGGCAGTTAAGTAAAAAAGCAATGTGACATAATTTTTGTTAATTAACACTTATGGTTACTTTGATTGTGTTGATTCTATGAAAAATATAAGTGATGGCAGGTATAGATACATGTCAGTAAATACAGTTTTATAACTGTACCTTAGCAAAGGGAACCAAGTGGGGTGAAGTCACTTTCTGAAATGCTCTTGTCACATGTGGGTTAAAGTATATAAAATGCAACTTGTTTCCTACATTACTGTTATTTTGTAATGGCAATTTGTAGCTAGATTTTTTCTTACTCATTGTCTTGTGTGCACCAACTTTAAAGCACTACAGGTTGGGTTAATAACGGGCCACACTATGTTTATATAACGTACTTTAGCTTTACACAGTTCACATTATGTTAAATAAAATGAACTAAGGTCATGACAGTTAAAGTTCAATGAAATATAAAGATTACATGAAGTGGAAAAGAAGACAAAAATCTATTTTCATTATTGGACTAGTTTAGCAATAATCAATCTTTTCATAAAAATCATGTTGGGCTCATTTTTAGTAGGCTGTCTTTCGGTGTACTCGGGGACTGGTTCCAGGATTCCCCCAAACACCAAAACTGGGATGCTCAAGTCTCTCATATAAAATGGCACGATATTTCCACGTCCCCCTGTCACCTCCTCCTGCATGCTGTCATCTCGAGATCCCTCGTAATACTTAATTCAGTGGAAATGCTTTGACAGAATCGTCATGCTCTGTTGTTTAGGGAACAGCGACAAGAAAACAAAGTCTGTACACGTTTAGTAAAGACACAATTTATTCCCCAAATATTTTCAGTCTACAGTTGATTGGATCCATGAAATTGGAACTTTGTGGACACAGCACCAACTCCAGGTTTGCTCCTTGCCTTAGGGTGCGTGCTGATGAGCCCTGGTATAAACTGAAGATGCCCCAAGTACAGGTGCAGCTTGTGCCCCTAACGTACTGACACCATAGCTTAGCAACACGGCAGAGGTTCTTGGTGGTCACCCGGGATCGCACAGCACACCACTCCTACCCAGCACCCTGGACTCCTTCTTGCGCCCTACTGGCAACCCAGTAAAAGGTCAAAATCCAAAGATTTCCTCTAATCTAATGAGTGCTAATTGTTCCAGTAACCTTTCCAAAATAACCTAAGGGGGTAAATATAGGACCAAACACAGAAGAATGAAGTTTCAATTAAATATTTTCACAAATTGGACTCAAATCCTGGAAACTGGGTTAGAAGGGTTCAGTGACTTAGCAGCCAAACATGGTGGCACATGCCTCTAACACCAACACTCAGAAACGCCGAGGCAGGAGGGCTCCTGCAAGTCTGAGGCCTATCTAGACTACACAGTGAACAAAAACAAAATCACCTCGAAGCAATAGCAATAATGCTGACACTAACCCTTCATTCTGCTCTAATGTTTAGATGATCTGAGCTAAATCATCTAGATCTATCCTCACTCAATGTCTTCTGTTTTCACATTTTCTAGATTTATGGATCATTATTCTGCTTATTCTTATTGCAGGTAAATATCGAAATTTTGACTATCACTGCAAAAAAGTACACTTGATAATATACATTTTCAATTCTATAATTTTTATAGGTTGAGATTAAGTAGACCAATCTAGATTGAGGCCTGTCTAGGCAAGTTAGTAATTTAGTGAAACTCTGTCTCAAATTAGAAAAATGAAAAAGGGCTGGGGAAGGCCCTGAGTTCAACGCTCAGTACTGCACAAAGAAAATGTAGTAGCTGGGCATGTTGGCACATGCCTGTCATCCAGTACATGGGAGGCTGAGGCAGAAGGATCATTGCAAGTTCAAAGTTCAAGAGCAGCCTGGGCTTAAGTGAGCTTAAGACCAGCCTGAACTGCATAGTGAGACCCTGTCTCAACAAGACAAAAAAAAAAAAAAGATGGTAAACCAACCTAGAAAATCTTGTCTTTTATGTAGTACCTTTAGCTTTTGCTGATTTTATATTTTTCTGTATATATATGTGTGTGTATATATATACACTTAAAAAGAGGCCTAAATACTTTCTTAAGATGATGTGAACAGTGTTTGCTTCTCAAATGTGCTTTTGGTAATTTTCTAAATCAAGCTGGTACGTAAGTCTCTGACTTACTACTTCATGATTGCAGGGAATTGGATTTAGATAATGAAGAATCCAGATGGAATATAGAGATACTTCAATAAAATACCATTTCCTAACACTTATGTTTCTCCTGCTTAGATTCTGAGTCTCAGTTACTCATTTTTCGAGTCACACACTGTTTATCTCATTTTTCCACAGTTGTCGGATTGGCTCTGATACTCCTTTGTGCGTGCAGATTCTTTGAACGCAAGAAGAAAAGGTAAATACAAGCACATTTCTTCTAGCTTATTAGTCCTTCTTATCCTCCACATGCTTTTTTAAAGCTTTATTTTAGAGTTAAAACCAATAAAAACAATACAGAATTTCAAACAATACAAGATGATAGGAAATTAATGATGGTTATTATATTGCATGTTGTTATCTTCAAAATTGTTGCTCAGATTATCAGATAGAGGGATGCAAGATTGATCAAAGAATACAAGCCCTGACTGTTCCTTCCAATGAACTAACAGAATGAGTGGCACAGCTATCTTTGGATATGCATGCATACATTTTCCCCTTCCTCGTTTCCCCTTCCCCCTGTCCCAGTTGTTCTTGCCTTTGGAGCATTTTCTTCCCCTTTCACGAATCCATGCACTTTTGTGCAGCTCAAGCTTGCATTTGGCATGGGCAGTCTCTTTCCAAGTATTCCTGCAGTGGTGTGTCCTCAATTCTCTGCTGAAATATTTCCAGCTACTTTTAACAGCATGTGAGGGACCTGTGCAGAGTTCTTCAGCGCTGTTAGATGAACAATTTCTGTAGGGGGGGAGTTTAAATTCCTTCGTGAATCCTGGACTGTTTTGAGGTCTAGTCCTCTAAGTCCTCTAGGGAGGCACAGTTTGCCTTTCTTCCTCAGAGTCTAGAGCAGTGCTTCTCTGATTGTCTCTGTGCTTGAATGACCTGCACATGGCTGGGCCTGGGGCAGGGCCAGGGATTCTGCATATCTGATGCACACCCACGGGTGATCCTGGATTGCTCAGACTAAAGCTTGACCAGCCAGGCTATCACTGTCATCGATGGGACCATAATGTTAGTTCACAACCTAGGCAGAACTGATCAGAATCAGACTGTGGGCCCCACAGTCAACTTCACTCCCAGTGGAGGTGAGACGAAAGTCACAGCCTCTGATCCTGTGTGGTGTGTCTGTGAGCAGCCCCCAAAAGAAGCTACCTAGGGTGCCAGCCATCAAATCAGGTCAAACCAAGGGACATTGCATTGATGTTCCCAGGGGTTTTGATAGTTATAAGGCAGGAAACAGGGATAAAGGCCAAATCCATATTTCATATTATCACATGGCTTTAGAAACTTCTTTATGAGACAACAAAACGTATCGCTTCTCTATGAACAGGAAGCAGGATAACGGGCATAAATCCTATCAAATGGCTGTGATAGCCTGGTACAAAACAGACCTGATGTAAACTGGTACTTAAGATGATTTAGGGACAGTTACCTTTCTATAGCCTCTATCTCAAAGTACAAAAATAAGGTCAGCAGTCATTTTAAAGAGCACCCAACAGTACTTATTTGATGAGCAGTGGCCGGAAGGTTATGCATGCTGCTGGCTTCCTGTTTCTTAGCGCTCAGCTCATTACAGGTAGGACAGGCTCCCCCTGGTCTAAAGCAGGCCCCACCCATGTGCACCTTTCTCATCTCTCCGTTGCCTTTTTGAACTAATTCTGTCTTATCTTGGGTTGACAGTCACAGCTTATGCCTTGTTACTGCTTAAATGCCATCTTGCAAATCTGTGCAGCTCTGAACCACACCCACTTCATGTTTACAGGTTTTTTCACTCGTGAAATTTTTTCACAAATGCATTATTTTCTTTACTCCTGTTAAATCACTCTGGAATAAGTGAGAGTTGTTAAAGTTATGAAAATTATTTACATCAAACCTATTTTCAGTTATCTGTAACAAAATAAAATTTTTCTATTTAATGATATTTGCTATTTAATATACTCTCAACCTACTTTTAATGTGATATTAATATTTAATGACTCAATTACTTTATCAGTTGTAAAGTATCTGCCTAAATGTTTGTTTCACTCGGTGAAACATTTATTTAGACACAGCTTAAAAATTAAGACCAGAAGTTGTGATGACTTGGGGCAAAAAACTGTTGGATCAAAGCATTTTTTCTAATTAGCTTTCAATTATTTGTTAGCATCTAATGAATCTTTCTAAATTTTGAAACACAAATAATATGTCACAAAAGATTGTACAATTGGTTTAGGAAGCATAGTAATGAAATGAGAACCATTTCAAAATGGGAGGGGAATGTTGTAATACATTTTCCAAGAACTTTCCTTCAAGTTGAAAAACAAAGTGCCACAGGAAGAAACTATACTTGATGCAAAATATCAAGGTGAATCTTTAAAAAATGATTTATCATATAATTGATTTTTAAGACAGGATGACAGATTTAATTAATCCTGGATTTCCCTAAAACTGAGAGTGCTGGAGACCTGGACCACTTCTTCTCACACAGTGTTACTCTTTGAAAGAATTGTAACAGTATTTGCTTCGTGCAAAATAGTTTCAAGGGTAAGCATACTAGATAGAAATTTAGAACCTATTCATCTGTAAGACTTCAAAGTAGCTCACTGTACCAGATTCATGTGTCAGATCCCCAAATGAGAATAGGATAAGTTATGGACCTAATGCTCAGCTTTTTTCTATCACTAATTGATCCCACATGTGACACAACTCCTGCTTCTTTTTGGCTTGATGTCTCTATCTTACTCAGTCCTTTTCCATTCCTCTGTCCAGCATAATTCTGATGACAGCTACAAAGAAGTAAAATTTACTTCTCTCTAAAAAGAGATAAGAGAAAAGTCTGCCTTATCATTAAAAAGGTATCTGCTTTCTGTGTGTTTCTCTGTCACAATGTCCTTTGTTTTGAAAAATATTTGGGGTATTTAGATATCAGTAGCATGAACCTAGAGAGGTTGACAGTACAGATCAAAGAGGAAGCTTAGATCCCGATTCTTTTTGCAGAATTATTGATGTTTCTTAGACCATTACTCTTTGAATACTTATCTAACATGCAGTGGCAGGATTTGCTTTGACACAGGCTTAATACAGCATTGTTCTTCATCCTTGTAGCAGACTGTCCAGTTGCCTCCAGCTCTGAATCCAAAAGGGAATTTTTGTGCTCAGTGGGACATAATCAACAAAACCAATCAATTTAATTTCAAAGGGAGGATAAATGTCCTTTTATAGAAACCAAAATATATTTTATTTAACTGTGTGAATGTATTCTATTAGAATCTGCAAATAACTCGAAAGATATTTATGCTTCTCTGGACCATAGTATTTTTGGCATATTAACAAAAATTAGAAAAACACCCAGATTTTGAGGAGTAGTGGATTGTTTTGCCCTGAACCCTTTGGTTGGTCCCATCACCTCCTGTCTCTAACTGAAATTAATTCCAAGTGCTTGTCCCCCACCTGTGCTGGAAGGGTGTCTATGTGGCTGGGAAAATCCGTGCCTTTTATGCAAGACCCTATTGTAGAACATAAATGCAGAGTTCAGGAGTGGGATCTACAAAGGTCATTTGGAAATACATTTCTCAGTAAAATCAAGATTGTGTTTTTGAGCACAGAGGCAAAGTAGAAGACAACACCCACCCACTAGAACCAGCAATCAGCCTTCTGTGCCTCAGTCTCAGGAAAAATAGAGGCTAAAGCCAATGAGTAAAGTAGTTTCCAGACTCCCTAAGCTTCAGGGTATCTGAACATTTGAAGATAATTTAATGAAAGCGGAAAGTGACACAGTATAGCTGTAGGTAGTAGTTAACTTTCAAATTTTTATTGTCTTCAAAGCAGCTATATTGATCCATCAAATATATTTATGTTAATATTTTTTATCTTCCTCAACTTTCAAAAATTCTATGTAAAGGATTCTACTGCTACAGAAAAAAGAGCAATGAAAAATATAACCGTCTTGAAGAATCTAGCGTCAGGCCAAACTATGCAGTCACTCACCAGCATTCCTTAAGAAATTGCTGTAACATTGGGCACTGTGGTGCACACCTATAATTCCAGCTATGCAGAGGGCTGAGGCAGGAGGATTTCAAGATAGAGACCACCTCGGGAAACTTGGCGAGACCTGGTCTCAGTAAGATACAATAAGGTTGGGGAAGTAGCTCGGTAGTGGAGCACTTGCCTAGCTTGCACAAGGTTCTGTGTTTAACTTCCAGTACTAAATTTACTTGTATACTGTCAGCTGAAGAAGGGCCAGAGCTGCATGGACAGCCACCACTGCCTCTTAAGAAGGCTGGCAGTGTAAAGTACACACAATGTCCACACCATAAGACAGAAAAGAGTGTAAAATGCTTGTCCAAATGTATGCCCCATATTTTATACCCAGCCAAGGTTAAGTAATATTAATTCTGCCTGTTTTCAATGTGGCCTCTAGAAAACGTCAGTAGGTAAATTCATCAGGCAGCACTCAGTGCGATCAGACTTTACAGAAATGCCTACTGTTAAGAGAGTGTGGTGTAAACTTGAGCTACTCCAGAGAATGCAAGATATTGACACGGAGATAAAGGAATCACAGTGTCGTGGTGCTAGTGAGATCCCCAGCTTTTTCAGGGTTCATTTCAGAGCTGCCCACTCAAATGCATGACAGTAAGGCAAGGCTTCTCTCCCCAGTCTCCCCTGCTGACCCTAAATCAAAGTGAGGGAATACTGAATACTGCATGTGCTGGTGCTTTGTTTGTTTGGGGAGGGATTAAAAGTGTAATGTAGAGATAAAAGAAGGGTTGTTAAAGCAGGATTTTTGAACCTTTAAAATTATCTTAATCATTTGATTCTAGTTTGGGGTTTTTTATATAAGGAGATTTTTGTTAGTCTTCTTTTGAGCGAGAGGTGTGGCTCAGTGGTCGAGCACTTGCCTAGCTGTGAAGTCCATGGGTCTCATGCCTAACCCTGCAAAAGTAAAGCTCTATTTTCTTTCTGAAAAGCCTTCTGGGATTTAACTTCTGTACTTACTTCTATTTATCTCTGATGTCACTGCTATTCTTTGCCTTGCAGGAAAGAACAGGTCCGGGTTCAATATACCCGACTATTCCAGCAGGGTAAACTGCCTGCTTTCCACCAGCCGGGCCTGAGTTTGTCCTTGGGTTCTGCTAAAGCCATGGGCCCTTTCTTTTCTCAATGTCAGGATCCAGACGGAAGTTCCTGCAGTGTGCACGCAGCCCCATCCGCGCGTGTGTGTGTGTGTGTGTGTGTGTGTGTGTGTGTGTGTGAGAGAGAGAGAGAGAGAGAGAGAGTGGTGCCTGCCCCCCCCCCAGTGCCTCCACCTAAGGGCAGGTCTACCAGTGTCGCTAACGGTCTTCAGGAGAGGAAGTCATGTATTTTATAAAATGTGGCTTCTTTGGAAAAACATACAGCCGTTCGCAATGAAATTAATTTCCTTTATAAAGAAAGTGATGCTGACATCTTTATAATGCCACACCTTAAGACGCTGCCTTTCAGCAGTGTTAATACCCATTTTCTGTATCATTGTTAAAGCCTTTACAAACGTGTATGACTCCCACAGCACCTGTTCACTGAAAACAAGAGCGTAGAAAACTGGGAATGTGGACACATTTCACCACCTCAACCAATGATATTCCTGGAAAGTTATCTAAACATTAGTTTTGTCTTTTGGAGACAGGGTCTCACTGTGCAGTTCGGGCTGGCTGTGAGCTCACTTTGTAGTGCAGTCTGGTCCCAAACTTGTAATGATCTTCCTGCCTCAGCCTCTCGAGTGCTGGGATTACAGGCATGCACCACCACACTCGCTTTAGCTAAACTTCAGTAAGGTAAACCATTTATTGGTAACTCTTCTGGTGATCTAAGGAAGCTAGAAAGTGCATGTATGACATGCATTTTTACTTTTTCTTGGTAGCATCAGTCAGCTAGAATTAGAAGTCAGTGAGATACCAGAACGAGTTACATACATGAGTAAGAAATTAGAGGACTCTACCATCCACAGCAAGAGTGGCAGTGTACGGTACCAGGTAAACTCTGTACCCTTACAGTTTTCTTAAAGAGAGGTCTGTCTGTTCAATAATGCACTCCAAGTTCTGGCTACTTTGTGCTTTCTCTCCTTACACAGAAATGTCTTCCCTTAAACATGTTTTGTGGCGAATAAATTCATCATGTAACTCAAGCAATGTCAAACCTCAGTCCATGCGCTAAGGGAGTCTCTTGCATACCTCACCTGACTCTTAAGAGGCAGAGCATAAATCAAGTCACACTTTTCAGAGAAGGGACTTCATCTGTTTACTGTGGGTTCTAGCAGAGCTCCCCCTACCCTGGCCCACATCCCAGGCTCAGCAGGTGACCTCCCTTTGAAACCTGTGGTTGGATATTTAGGGAAGTAATCTTTAAGCAGAAATAAAGAGAAATTCTGAATTAAGAGTTAAAGTGCATATCCATTTTCACTATCTCTCAAGAATGTAGCAATTATTCAGCAGGAATGGTTGTACCTAATTTTTTAAGCCTAATGAACTATTTTCAATTTAAATATTTTTATGATTAAAATAAATTTAAATTTATGTTTCTGCTTCATATTTAGTGTTTTCAGTTTAATATTTAAATTTGCAATTTATGTGTAAATATATATATTCTTTTTTGTCAGGTAATTTGTAAAACTTAAAATTGTGTGGAGAGGCTTCATTTGACTGAATACACTTGTGCAGATACTGTGTTTATCCCAAGTCAGAATCTGTTTCTAATGAGAGCCCTCTCTCACCCCACCATTCCCACCACTCCTGGTCCTGGCAACCTGGCCTTTGTGTGCCCAGGGGTTCCCTGCCCCGTCTGGCAGCCTCTTTCCTGTTGAGTGATCCCTCATCTGCAGGGTGGGGTCTAAAATTCCTCACGTGAACTTGACCTTCTACAATGAAACCCTTTCTTCCCAAGCCTTTCTTTCTGCTAAATTTCTTCAAATAGCCTTCTCTTGGTCAAGCTAAACCATCTGCCCCATGCTTTCTGCTATATTCCCAGTCCCTGTTGCTTGAAATACCTTTTATCTTCTCTAGAATTGTGCATCTTCCAAGGATCATCTCAGATAGGACCAGGTGCCTGCCGCTTCACCTGGCTGCTCACCAGACTACAGGACTATAACCTAATCACGAGTTAGCTAAGTTGAAGTATCTAACAAAAGCTGGCCCATCTGCGTCTCATAAACACATACAGTGCAAAATTAAAAAAAAAAAAAGTCCCAACAATGAAAGCATAAAGTCTGATTTGTGTAACTAATGGGATGTGGGTTTGTTCACACAAAACATCATTCTGGCTGTCTTTGCAGACTGGAATCAGACTGCTGAGGCTATCAGATGAGGCCCTGTGTTCCTCAGCCATCGCTGTGCACTGCAGCCACTGGGGAATTTTACTGACACCTGGGTCTGCACGCAAGGGTACACAGCTAACTAACTGATCTGGGATGTGGCCCAGTCATCAGGCTGTGTGTCCCAGGTGGCTGCACTGTACAGCTGAAGTTGAGAATCTCCGCATTAGAAATTCTCATGCACAATGGTCAGTTTCTTCAAATAAACTTAAAGAGGGAGGAAGGGAAAGGCTTCTACTCCCCTCCACCAAAAAAAAAATCATAGTTTAATTCTACCTGTCAAATGAGAAAATTTTAAAGAGTGGAGGTCTTGCTAACTAAATGTGCTTTAAAACTACAGAAGAAACCTTTTTAATATCAAGGTTGGACGGCAACTATATTAAATATGAACAAGGAAATCATTTTAGAAAATGTTATTTGACCTTGAGACTTTTTTTTTTTCCTTTTCAATTGCCAAAAAGTCGAGGGAATGCTTTTAAGGTAATTGACAGGGTCTTTTGCTAGAATGCGGAAAAGACCTGGGATTGGAAGGAATTTAAATTGACATCTTAAAGTAGATTTTTCAGGCTTAAGGGTACAGGACAGTATGGGGTATTGTCAGGCAGCAGCTAACATTTTAACCAAGAATGAAGTTTTTTGTGTATTTTAAGAATTTTCATACTTGTATTTAAGGATTTAGCAACGTCTACTGACTCCTAGGATTGCTGTGGAATTGACTGCACTATGTTCCTAAACTACTTCCTAAACTATGTTGCTCTAAGAATGTCCAGGCTCTCAGAAAAAGGGACATGGAGGAAGGTTAGCCTTTGTAGAGCGTGGCACTGCTGCCCTCCGGTGGACAGTTGGGGGATTGGACAATCCCTCCACACTTTTAGAGTTCTCAGTGCTGTGATTCCAGGAGCCATTTCTAAGTTCATTTTGGATCCAGTATAAAACTAGCCCTCTTCTTCTGCTTCTTAAAAAAGTTTTTAAAAAGAGCTAAACTCTTCCCCTTGATGCTTAAATATAGGGGAACACTGCTGGGTGCGGCAGCACCTGCCTCTAATTCCAGCATTCTGGGAGGCGGAGGCAGTTCAGCCCAACCTTGGGGATGTAGCAACTGGGGAAGATCAACGCTTGAAATGTCACTTGATGCAAAGGCCCTGGGTTGAAGTCACCCCCAAATACCAAAAAATAAAAACAGGGTGAACATAATATAAGGGAAGGGTCCTGTGATCAATAAAATGACTTTTTCTTCTTCCTTCTTTCTTCTCACAGCCCGGAGAAGGTAATGCCAGCCATCCAAATAAGCGATCACATGGTGAACGCGCCCATCTTGATGCCCAGCACTGTGCAAAATCCTATGAAGAGGTAATAAAACTGATGGTAGAAGCCACTTAAGCTGATGTCTAGCTCCCTTCCGTCGCTTTCAGGAACTATACTACAGTACTACTGTTAAGTCACTACAGCAAACTCTGTGCCAGCCTCCTGGAAACCAGCCCTCGTGCCACCTGCTGCTCAGGTCTGTCGCTTCATGAGGAGCCCAGGGACTGAGGCTCAGATGGGCACTTACACTCAGGGCTGGAAATGTTATCCCATTACCACCTAACTCTAGCTCAAGAGCTCCTGAGAAAGAACTCCTCAGATCTGTATTTGAGGTGGATCCCATGGCATCAGGCTTTGCAAATGTTGGTATCCAGGTGAGTCACACCATGGCTTTGTTAAAAAGCACATGCTGACTCACTAAATCACTAAATCCTGATTGGGGGGGGGGAGTGTTCTGCATTTCTATTGCATTTCCAGCAATTGCTATGCAGTGGTCTCCAAAGAAAGCCTAATACACAGAACCTGCGAATGTGACTTGATACAGCAAAAGGGTTTTGAGGATTAAAGATTCTGAAATGGGGAGATGATCCAGGTAATGAACTGAATATAATCACAAGATTGCTTAGAAGAGAATGCCAGAGAGAACTGATGGGTCAGATGACGTGACACCGAAGGGGTGACAGCGATGGCTTGGAAAATGGAAGAAAAGGCTCAGTCCAAAGAATGAAGTTCAAGGTGCTAAAAAATAAACCCTGCCACCTCCTCACACTTCTGAAGAGTTTGTGGTTCCAGCCCAGTGAAAGTAACTTGAGACTTATGTTGAAGAACATGTATGTTAAGACAAAAGGTTTCTTGTGCTTTGTTCCAGTGGCCTCGGGAGAGGAATATACACCCTCAGACTACCTTCTGTGTAGTAAAATCTTTTAGAAACAGATTTCCACGAAGTCAAGGGGGAAATGACCCTCAACCCTGGCTGCAGGTTAGAATCACCTGGGAAACGTTAAAAAGCAAGAAGCAGTGTTCAGGCCCATTCGAAAACCAGCCAAACCAGAACCTATAGGGTTGGGACCCAAAAGTCCCTTGCTAGAAGGCTGTTTGGGTGCAAGAAGCTCAGGTAGTACGTTACTGGATTAGTCCAAAAAATAATTTTCTTGCATTCAAGGAAAACTATTAGCTTCCCAAAGTGCAGTTATCCTAATCTGTTAGGTAATCCTACAATGATACACCAGCTCCCAAAATGAAGACCTGGGCCAGTGTCTTATGCCGAAGTCTGCCCTGTATGCTGCCCCAAACTGGTCAAAGATCTGACTTGTTACTTACTTCTTAAGGACTCATCCGTGTTTACTGCTACACATGGGAACTACCTGCTAGTACAAGCTGCACAAGGCTCACGGGTTCTTTTTTCCTACTTTGCTGACAATAGCAAATCTTTGGGGGTGCTCCAATGAGGCATTTTGACCTCAGTTTAACACAGCCTCACTAACCTGCTTCAAGGCGGTGTCACCAGGAACACTCTGCACTAACCACTAATTTATTATGAAAAACCACCTCACAAGGGCAACTTTAGGGACAGAGACAAAATAATCCTATTTGAATGGCGTCTCTGATACACTTCACGTCCTTGTAACCTGCTGAACTTTTATAGAAAGATCTCATATCACTCAATAAAGGAGTAAAATCAGGGCTTCAGAGGTGCACAGTCATGTCTTATTTGTATTTGAATACAAATTTGGAACTGGAGATATGCTAAGTGTATCAAAATAGATTTGTGTGTAGCTAAAAGAGCAGATCCAAAGCTGTCATACCTGGGGTGCTGCCACACCTGCATCAACAGAGAAGTGAATAAAACAATACAATTTTGGTCCTTCACTATTGTCACTACCATATCCCAGGGATTAGAACATGTATTCTTCCCCCAGTGGCCTGAAATAGCTCTGCAGCTGCAGAATGCATCACATTCACTGGGAAATCTTCCCAACAAATGTTTCATCTGCCTTCCACCCCCAGCCCACCGGGCAGGGCAGCCATCTGGGGGAGCCTGGTGGGATGTGGGCTTTGAAAAGGCGGCTGATCTGCCATCACTCGGTGTCCAGGTGAATCACACGGTGAGGAGTAACTGTCCTGCAGGCAGCTCAGAGCCAGGCGCCGCCCCTGAAAAAGCACAATCAAGGGATGACCATCTTCCTTTCCTAGGAGTCCTTCGACTGTACCTCGTAAGTCAGATCTGGTGAATCTCTGAATAGCTTCACAAAGCTGGCTCACCCTATCTTTGAGAGTTGATATAAACTAACAGCCAAAAGCAGAACTCCATCTGTTATAATGCAACTGAAATTAGCCACTTCCCTTAGAGCCACATGACAACACTGCTAGGTACAAGTTTCCGGAACTTTCTGACGAGGCACTGCATCCACGGCTCTCTGGGAACCAAGGACAGTTTCCCATTCCCTCAGCCCACATCACCATTTTCTGCTCTTCTCTAATCTCTTCTGTCATTCTCCCAGCTCAGGGACTCTCATTCTTGTCTTCACGAGCTTCATTTTTCAATGTCTGCTGGAACTGCAGGTAAGCTCTGGCACAGTGAATTACTTTTCAGGACCAACTTCTCCTCATCCTAGAATTATGCATGGAAAATAACAGACGAAAAACACAGCCACGATACATGGGATCCAGTACGTCGTTTATTAAAATCAGGATGCATGAACAGACTCTTAACAAAGATAACGGTAACCAGCTTACAGCATCTGTAGTATGGTACATTTCCGAAGATGCCGCTGAGAACATCGTTCAAATTATAACTACTGTGGTTTTTTTAACTCAGTAAATTATCTCTTACCTCTGCGATAACCTAAGGGCAGTTAAAGACCTCCATGAGGAAATTTCAGTCCTTCCTCACCCTCTGCTGGTCCACCTTGCAGGAGACCACAGGTGCAGCTGCTTGGATGCGGCGCAAAGCTTAGAGGTGGCTGCTGCTTTTCCCCCTACATCATAACCGATTTCAAATGGTGCTAGACAAAAACAGACTCTGAACACCAGGAGAAATCGGTCAGCCTGTGTAAGAGATGAGCCAGCGGTGGGCGTCCTCCCGTCTGTGCCTCGGTGCGGAAAGGCGTCAGCAGGCAGCAGACACTTCGGCGTCCTCCCTCCAGAGCAGGCAGCTATGGCCCTGGACACACGACACTCACCACTTCCCACCACAACCACACCCGATACAGCACCCCAGACTCAGCAGAACACAGTGCCACCTCCGCTGCCCTCCACCGGTCACAGGAAGGGGAGGGGACCACTTCTGCCCCATCAGGCCGCTGTGTTTGTTTAAACACAAACCTCTCCCATGGTCACTGCTCCAAAACCCTTTACATCCAAGAGTGCCTCGTGCCCTGCCAGTCTTCCCTCCCTGAAGGACTTCTTGAAGCAAGTCCTTGCAGTCTTCCCTTGTGCCGCTGCAATTCTTACTCCTAAAACACTGATTTCAAATGGTGCTAGATACAAAGATCGAAAAATCTAAGCCACCATGTGAAACCAGCTTCCAGAAGAAGAGGGTCTCACTGAAGAAAGCGCAGAGCTGCGGTCGAAGACTCGGCCTCCATCCTAAGGAGAAATATCTTCTTGGGGCTCCACTTATGGAATTACAGAATGACCTCCTGGAAAGACCCAGAGGACAGCCCCACAGTGCAGCTCCTGAGAGCCATGGAGGACACTTCACACACACTTGAATGCCACAACACGCATCTCCTCTGCTGAGTTTCCCAACCTGTCACTATAAAGCATGACACGGGATGAAATGAGATTCAATGCCATTATAAAGTACATTGCTGCTTCCATTCATAGCACGCGACATGTACAGAACATTTCCCAGCATGGGAGGAGGACCCGGATGCAGGAGTCCGGCCCTGAAGGATGTAGGCTCCCGCCTGTCTGTGGAGGGCTGCATCACACACAGCCTCACAGCACTCGAGGTGGCCCTTCAGCTGCGTATCTGAATACACCTGTAGTGTGATTTTTAAAAAAGCTGCCCTCTGCATCAGTGTGTTAGGCAGGGAATCTGCTCACACACACATTTTTGTTTTCATTTGCCTGAAAATATAATTTGCAAACTGTGTATCAATGATTTCCTCTTTCACAACACCTTTTGAGGAGGTTACAGAAATGTCTTTTTCCTCTGATGTCACAACCCAGAGAAAGAGGAAACAATAGAAGCTGCAATGTTTTAGAGTCCTGAGCCCTGCTTCAGACCTCTAGATACAGGGTTGCCTTTTTTATGGCTCTTTTATGGCCATCAAAGTATGTGTTGCTATAGGAAAAGGAGGAAATAAAAATGGAACAAGAACTGTGCTATTTAATTCTCACAACTGTTCTATGAAGAAGGTATTCTACCAATTTCTGCAGAAATTGAAAGTGATCTTTAATAAGGACACATACACACACAAAAACCTGTCCACAGTCACATGCTTAATAAAAGCAGGTCCCAGGAGTAAGTCCAAAGTCTGTGTTCCCTCCTTCCTGCCACTGTTGCCAGGTCCTTAGCCGACTTTCACCTCATTTTCCTCTCGCACTTAGCTCTAAGCAAGACCTGGAGGTAGAGGGTAGCAGGGAGGCAGTATTTCTCTGCATGGGAGTGGGATGATTCTGATTATGCAATGCAGTGCGCTTGGGATTTGGGTTCTGTGAAGGGGCTGATGGCCGGGGTGGTTTACATCTGCTCTCCTGGGCTTCTACTGCCCCTGGAGCCCTCCCTCAGCATGGAGAAAGTGCTGCCAATGAACTCCCTGGCAACTCCATATCAGCAGCAGGGACGGCAGCCCACCACAGGACTGGCCACAGCGGGGCCAGCTGGAGTCAGTCTGCACACAAGGTGCTGAGCAATGACATCTCTAACCAACCTGAGGCCTGGGGAAACGGGGACAGCATGGGCTTTAACATCACAAGCAAGCATTACGTAACAGTGATCACCGAATGTCCAATCTTTTGAAAGGAGAGGGGTGGATGAGATTTACACTGGGTAATTCTCAGCTCCTCTGCTTTTCATTTTAGCCAAATTCTTTTCCTTAGCAACTCTACTCACCACTGTTCACTACCCACAAACACCCTTCGTGTGTCCCTGTGCAGGAGTCCTGCAGGAGTCCAGGAAGGTCCTCCCCCACCCCGCCCCTGCTGCCCCTCCTGCACTGAGAGACTCTCTGCACCCACTAGCTGCCACCCCAGCCACCCTTCCTGTCTCAGCCTCCCAAGCCTACCCACTACCAGCAGGCTGAGTCGTTCTTCCTCCCAGAACCCACCTGTCTGGTTTGCTCTTCTGTTTGGCACTGAATGAATGCTTCTCCTGCTACCCAGGAGGCACAGTGCTACCCAGGCTCCAGCAGAGCTGCTGTACCTAGTGAGGAGCCACTGCCCCCGGGAACTGAGCATAGGTTCCAGAGTCTGGGATCCTCAGTCTTAAGATTCCACAGCTTCACCCTGAGCTCCCTGAAGAAGAGATGCAGAACCGTTTAAGGAAGGGAGGAAAACAACTTAGCACCCAAATCTGTAGACCTTAGGTTCTTAATGAATGCAAGACCCATTCGGGTCTCAGTTTTTCTAACGGAAGGAAGTGAGATTCATTCTCCTGTTAGTCACATGGGAAGTGAATCAAGAGCTGGTTCCCCACTAGTTGTAAGCAGCCAGGTGATCTGATAAAGGGCTCCATCTCCTAGGCACAGAGCCCAGGTACATCTTGGTCTAAGAACACTCCGATGGGGACTCGGCTGTCCACTGAGTGAAGGGACTCTCCTACCTCAGCCTGACGGGCCCTAGCAAACTGGCTACATGGAAGGGCTTGCTGAGGCCACCTGGGAAAGAAAACCACCCACCCAGGTGGACTAGACAGGAGCCCTGAGGAGCGCTTTGTGTGGGAAAGAAGTCTGGGGAGTCACATGGTCTCTGAGGCTCTCCTACCACACCAGGAGACTCTTCCGCCAGGCCAGTGACCCAAGGGTGGAGGAAAGGCCCCATGCAGTGAATCAGAAGCCCTGCTTGCCCCAAACTCAGAGCACAAGGACCTGCCACTTGCCTTTAATGGGCCCCTCCATCTCCAGGTGCAGAAGGGAGGCTGGGGTAGACTGGTCACCACCATGCAGAGACTTGGAGGGCCCATCCAGATCAAGGGACAGCAGGCAGCAGCATCAGTAAGGATGCAGGGACCTGGATGAGCTGCATGCTAGAGACCTAGAAAATCAGACACATAAAAAATAGTGCCGTGCAGGCCAAACCAGTCACAGCTGAGGGTGAAACACACTTCATGGGCAACCAGTTCTCAATGAAGATTGCAAAGATAGCTTCTCTTCATCTTATAAATGATACGGTCTTTTAAAGTCCTAAAAATCTTATGTCCAGCATAGGACCCCAAAAAATAACAAGGAAGGAAAGCCCGAAAGAGGGGGGCTCCTCGCATACAAAATCCAAAGTCCAACCCACTGAACCCAGTTAGTCACCCCCAGGAACCACATCCCTGCTCCCCACCCGCCTGTGCTGAGCTCAGAGGGTACATTCAAATGCAGAACGTGGGAAGATTCCTGCCAAGGCAGCAGCTTCTCCCTCCTGACCCAGCGCTGGGTGCTGAGTCACAGCTACTTACGTGACTGATGCAAGTTCCAGCCAGGGTGGGGGAGGGAGCCGGAAGCTGAGCCAATCGTCCATCTTCTTTCCTCCGGGAACGAGGGTTCAGGGTTCCAGGTGGCCAGGAGAACGCATCTTGGTGAGCAGGGGTGCTGTTTGTGGAAAAAGGGGCGCGCCTTCCCCTGAGACAGCCTCAGACAGCAGACACTGGACCTGTGAACCAAAAAGCCGGCTGGCTTGCCCTCCCTGGGTTGCAGCCCAGGCCTGGTGTCCTGCAAGCTTGGTCTTCAGCTGTCAGGGAAGGGCCTTCTGCCAACTAGCCATGGTTCAAGAACTCCAGGAAAGGGATAAAATGAAGGGGATATGTCAGGGGCTGTGGATGAAGGTCCCAAAAGAAAGGCCCGGTCCCCAAGGACCACTGTACTTCATAGGCCCCGCACCTCCCAGGGGAGTCGCATCCTCTGCATAGCACAGATCCCTGGGGGCCTAGTCAGGTAGCAAACCAGAAGTCACAGTTTCCCAGATGGGCTCAGCACCAGTTCTGGCTTCCCGTGGGTTGGAAGTACAGAAGCCTATGTTCTTAGGCAGCCGCACTTCAAATTAGATTTCCTGTCCCACTACTGAGTAAAACCTGGGTCTCAAAAGCCCCTAGACTCAGCGTGCACCATGGAGGTTCTGGGTGGGAGGATGCACTGGTCTGCTCTGCAGGAGAGCGGCCTGGCGGCAGTGAGGGAAGGGGCAGAGTGCAGTACAGGGCCTGCGCTGCCCTGCAGAAGGGCTCAGCTCTGGCAGAAGAGGACGACACAACTTGGGCAGATTTCAAGGAAGCCGGTGCTTTCCAAGACAGGAAAGGCGAGCATGCCTATGGGCTGCTACACAAACACAAAGCCCGCCACGGCTCACAGGGCCAGACCAACACAGGCAACAGAGAAACCACGGATGCCACACCCTCGTCACTCACAAATCATCTGCTTGGGTTCGTGACGGTGGACTTGGAAGTGAAACTTCAACCTCAGGTGAGCTCTAACCCCACAACCCAGCATGCCCCCTCCCCAGGCAGACTGGTCCCCCACCTTCCACTGCTTAGCAGTAGACAACAGACAGACACAGTGTCCTACCAGGCACGGCATTCCCAGGCCTGCTGCCCGGGCTCTGCTGCAGCCCCACGGAGGGTCAGCAGCCGCCAGATGGAGAGAGCCCTGGAGTACGGTCACAGGCTGGTGCCAGGAAGCCAGGCTGGCTTAGCGACCTCCAAGGAGCAGTTCCGCCCCGTACCTGGGCACACACCTGGCAGAGCACATGGAGCAGGCACACCCTGTGACGTGGTTCCACTTCCCTAGCTGTGGGAGGGAGGCCGGGCCAGGCAGAGGCGGGCTGGGTCCAAAGCCAACCACAAGGCCGCTTTCTCTCCACTTCCCCTCTGCCTACCCAGCTGGGAGCGCGCTGCACCTCTGCTGCTGTGCCAGCCTCCCTCTGTTCTCTTACAGGACCTCAGCCTGCCAGTCTGCAGAGCACACGGGAGCAGGAGGCGGCAGGAGGAGAGAACAGGACAGGAGAAGACAGAAGAGGAGACGAGAGGAGAGGAGAGGAGAGGAGAGGAGAGGAGAGGAGAGGAGAGGAGAGGAGAGGAGAGGAGAGGAGAGGAGAGGAGAGGAGAGGAGAGGAGAGAGGAGAGGAGAGCACAGAACAGAACAGGAGTGTGGGAGGGAAGGAGGAAGGAGGGGATGGAAGGAGGGGAAGGAGGAGGAAGCTTCATAGTTTGGTGCGCCTGCCCGGCAGATCAAAGAGGGGGAGCACACAGGACTTCCCTTTTGAACAGTGCTTCTGCCCCCTTTCCTTTTGGCTCCTTCCCCTCTGGACTGCGGATGGCTGGGCAAGTGGGCAGGGCAGGGCAGGGGCAGGCGCCCAGGTACCCGGCCAGCTGGGCTCCCGCCCGGCTCCATAACAGGCCTGGCACGCTCCCTCGGGCCGTTACCCAGCATGCCCTTCTCCTTGTCGGGGAGGCCTCGCCCTCTTGTTTTCCAAGTTTTATAACAGTATTGTTTGTTGTCCAGCAGATTAAGTTCTTCGGAGGCTGGGGGGGTGGGGAGGGTGGAAGAGAGCAAAGAGGGAAAAGAGAGAAGGAGAGAAAACACAAATAACCTTGTTTAGGGCCGGAAGAGTAAATGAGTCCCTTTTGAACACCGAATCCACCTGTCTGGGGGAAAAGACCAGTGGCCAGCAGCCTGTGTTCTTGTCCCTGAGCCTTCGCCCATCTTCTCCCTTCACCTAGCAGGGTTACATGCACACTTAGACTTCCAAAGACACCACTCAGGGCTCAGGCTGAAAAGAAGGAACAGTCAATAAGGCCTGAGGTGTGACACACCTGGACGGCCCTCCAAACAAGATGTGGGCAAGGTGGGGCCAAGCTGGCCCCAGGGAGGACAGCCTGGGTCCCCACCTCCTCAGCTATCCATTCTCCCAGGCCAGGACTCAGGAGGGCGATGTAATCAACGTCCCACAGCTGGTAGGGCTCCCTGCTGAGCCACATTTCACCCATACCAGTGACACTTGCAGAACTGGGCCACAAGAGAACGACAGAACTGCGTGGACAAACACAGCCGGTCCTTCCTGCCTGGCGTCTAACCCAGAGCTGAATATACCTATGTTACAGGAGCTGCTTTTGTACCACGTAAGGTTTGTATTCTCGTCCTTATTCCCTAACAATGGGACAACTATGTGCACGGCACTTACACTGGACTAGGTATTCTAAGTAATCTGGAGGCAATGTCAAGTCTATGGGAGGATGCGTGTGTGTTAAATGTAAATGTTCTGCCATGCTACAGAAGGGGCGAGGGAATCTATGAATTTTGGAATCCAATCCACCACAGACACTGAGGCATGATTACATTCACATATGCCTAAGGAATAAGGGAATGGGGAATAGGAAGGAAAGGAGAAAATGCAGTAGGAAACAAGCATGGTCTTGCAGGCACTAACCATGTCCCTCACCCATCAGGCCTGGTATAAACCTGCACCTGCAGATAAGACAAAAGCACATAGAACTTTCTGCACTGAATACAACTCTCACCCAGCCATGACTGCTTTATTTCAGACTCCATAGAATGCCCCTCTGCTCCCAAGACCGTGGGTCCCAAGACATCCTCTCGGCCTCCAGCCTTCTTCCTGCAAGCCACATCTGGCCCTGCCCATCCACACCACACTCCCACCACAGTGCCCATCAGAGGTCACTAGACCGAGAGGAATCAGCAGAGGTGAGTAGTGGTAACAGCACAAATACAGAATCAGAGCAACTCAGGACACGCCTGTCTCCAATTTTCTTTTTTCTCTTTTGGTACTGGAGATCGAACTCTTGACCTTGAGCTTGCTAGGCAGGAGCTTACACCTCCACTGAGCTAGCCTCCCTGGCTGTCTCCAATTTTCACATGCAAATAGTATCAGCTCCTGCAGGATCAGGGTCAGAAGTTAAGAGTCCCAGGTTCTGTGCACTCCCACAGCTGAGGACTTCCTCCAGACAGAGGGGAGAATGAGGGCCGAGTTAAAGAGCGGGCTCAAGATCCTGAGATCCAAACCTCATGCTCCTCTCAAGAAGCACAAAGTCCCACAGCCTCAGGACAAGACAGACCCTGTCAAGAACGTCCAGATTCCCTATCACGGGGAGAGGCTTTCTCTCCCCTTGGGAACCCTGAGATGTGACACACAGCTATCCTTGCATCTTAAGTCTCCCTCCCTGCCATTGTCCATCCTCTTCTGACTTCAGGTGAGTGAACACAATCAGGTCCCACGCGATATATCTCTTCATCTGAGGCCACCAAAGATGTCTTCCTTCCATCAACCATGTCCCTCACATCCCTACTGCATAAACCAGGCTTTTGTTTCCAGAGCAAAAATGGACAGCTGGTCAGACACACATGCACACCGCACTGTCCACGCTTAACCACTCCTCGGGGAACACCACAGAAAAACCCTAAACCATTGCAAGCAAACTTGTTATAAAAACAAGCATCTCTTCACTTCTTTATATGACCTCCGAGTTTGTTCAAATGAAGTTCCTTCAGGAACTTCCCTTAAAATGGGTTATGTTCAGGATCCCCAGAATGCAGATGCCTATGAGTTCTCTCACCCAGATTCCTCTGCCAGGGCAGACTTCCCTTCCAGAGTCATCTGTGAGGCCAACGAGCAGACCTGCAGCCAGTGTTTCTAGGGTCTGACTTCACGTTTCCAGCAGCCGGCACTTCCTGCTGTGCTCCACAGCCTCTGGCATCAGGCAGCACACATTAGGCATTCAGGGAAGGCCTGGGCACCCTGGACACAGCTGCTGGACACCTCTCAGAGACCCCACGGTGAAGCTGCCGTGCTGACAAGCTATGCACCACAGACCTTGCTAATACCTCTGCGCACACACGTCCCTGCCGTCCAGAAGGGTCAGGATGGCCAGAAGCGTCCCACAGTCAGTCCTGAAGCTTCCACATGTGTTCCAGCGTTCAGAAACACTAGGAGAGAGCTCCCAGAAATTAAATAATCTGGACATTTTGAGGTTTCCCACCTCAAATGCACAGAGAAGAAATCAGAGGCCCTCAAAGGTCAAGTCCATTTCCAAAGACCCTAGTCCTGCCCCAGCACCTGGGTCAAATCCCACAGAAATGGTAGCTGGACCACAGGACCTGGGTGCAGGTTCAAGCAGTCAGTCCTGCCTTGGTCAGATTCACCGATGACAGGGCTAATGTCACCTCTCTGCACAAAGTTGTCCGAGAATCAGCAAATGTGAAAACAAAACTACACGGACATGAACAGATGATTACCAATCAATTCCCTCCCATGCTGCCACAGCCCTCACCCACATCCCTGCACCACAGTGGGGGTGCAGAATGCTCAAAGTTACAAATTCCAGGTCCTCTGGCATGGCACATAGAAAATGATCTAGAGGAACATCTCTGCTTCTGTGTGGCTGGATGGGCAGCCCCAGGGCTTCCTACCCATGAGAACTTGGAGGAGTGGGAACTCCTGGGATGGAGGTTGCTGCAGAAGCCTGGCTGGAGTCCTGGTCACCCTGGGACCCTGGGCTTTCCAGCTTGTGCTTTATTTGAGCTCTTTTTGAGACTGATCTGACATTAAAATGGAACGGGTAACTCTGAGAGTTTTTGTGGCTTTTTTTCCTTTTCTTTCATTATCTTCTTTATTTTAAAGTTATAAAATAGAAGGCTTTAAACAGCCACATGGGGAAGAAAAGCTAAATATAAAGGGAAACCTCTGGACTCATAGGCAGGCCCTAGAATAGATGGATTTCCCCGAACCATGATCCCATCATGGCCAGGATTCAGCTCCAGATAGGACAGAACATCTTCAGTAGCAGCCTTTTACCATCCTGCCTTCCCAGCAGCCCCTGTTCCTCCTGGGCAGTCCTTCAAAACTTGTCCTTACCCACCCTCCCATCCTAGTCACACCTTTTGGGAACCAGGATTCCAGTTGCTCTCAAGTCTTCAAGCTGCCTCCCCTTCTCTCAGGATGATTCAAGACTTTGATCTCTTGGTCCTGAGTTTCTGGCTAAGCAATACCTCCTGGAACCTCCTGGAAAGATCCCATATTGAGAGTTGGATCTTCCAGATTCTAGTTCAACTCCCTTGTTTCCTAGATAAGGAAACTGAGGATTAAAGGAGTAATCAAGTGAGTTCTTACCAACAGGGTCTGCTGACTCCTCCACGCCAAGCAGCACAAGTCTGGCTGCCCTAACCAGCCTCCTCCCCAACAAACCCAGCCACAATCCCTGGGCGATTCCAGACCTCTGGTAGCAGGTGGCAGCTCCATGGTTTAGGTGGCCCCGCAGTGGCTGGCTGAGCTGAGCCCTGCAGCCGCCCACATGGAACACACGTCCCATCTCTGTCACCAACTGCCTGCTCCAACCGAGCACGGCACGAAGCAAATCCCAACACCCAGCAATGGGCACATCCCTCCGCCCCATCCTGAGCATCAGTCCGGAACCACCGGCCTGGCAGAGAGGCTGATTTGAGTCTGCCTCCTGCAGACACATCTGAGCAGTGACTTGGCAGAGACTTGACTGGAATGTTCTCTGGACTGCAGGGACGAGAGAGACACAGTGACCAGGCTAAGGCACGAAAGCCAGCTGGCATCTGATGAGCTGGGAGACGGGTGGTCAAGGGTGGCCTCGGAAATGGAAAAAGTCTGCTGGCGACATAAGCTTGACACTGACTTCTACTTCCCAACCCCGACCTGCTCCACATTCTTGAGACCTGTGGGGCCCTCAAAAGAACTCTCCCAGTTGTCAGGAAACAAGAGGGTTTGTATCTATCATTCTTGATCCGTTGGAAGCAAGTTTAACCAACATGGCCTCCCTGCTCCTTCAACCCCACACAATCTGTACACAGGATCATTGAAGGCATTTCAAAATTTCTTCTATTTTAAAAATCTTTTGGCAGTCATAGGGACTAAACTCAGAGTCTTCATACTGAGCCTTTTTAAAATTTTTTTTTTATTTTGAGACGACGTCTTGGTAAGTTGCTAAGTTACCCAGGTTGACTCAAACTTGCAATCCCCCTTCCTCAGCTTCCCAGAGTGCTGGGATTATAGGCATGTGCCACCATGCTCGGCTCACACTGATCTCTCCTCATACTGAATGCAGTTCCCAAGAGGGAACACCGTTTCCTTGGATTCTGCCTCTCCAGCACCTAGCACAGCACTCAGCACCTAGTTAGAAACTCTGCACATATCTGACAAGGAGCATCCTTGCCCTGCTCAGCCTTGCTGGACATGAAAGGGCACCCATCTCAACTCCACCTCTCCAAACAGGAACTTACCCAGCCACCCTGGGGACCTGAAAAGGTCCCTGCACGTCTGCCATTTGCTCTGGTGCATGTCACTTCTGAGGGTCTCATTTCACAAAAGATGTGATGCTCATCCATGAGGATGAGGAAAGTAGAGGTTTTGAAATCAGAAATGTCCGGATGTAAATGTCAACAACTGCACTTACCCAAGAATGTGACCTTGGTTGAATCACTTCTTTAACTAAGGTTCCTTCAGTCGTGAGGGAAATGAAGCCTGCGTCACATGGTTGCCTGGAGATGAAATCAGATAAACAAGAGGGGCCTGAAGAAAGGTCAGCTTCCACCTCCCTGACTGGCACCTGGGCAGAACTCTGATGCCACCTCACACCTCCGGCCTCATCACAAACCTAAACTGGCATTTAAGTGCAAATCCTCTGCAAGGAGCTCAACCTATTGACCTCGCCCAGGGACCCAACCACATGGAACCCCTTGCCCATACAGCAACCCATCTACCCATGCAGGCTGGATGCTGCAGCCTGGGCCCCCACACCATGGCACCCAGAGTATTCCATGGATTCACCGGCCACGAAGACCTTCCTTAAAGAAGCCAGTAAAGACCAAGCCCAGTCTGCACTTTCCTCAGGGCCACTGCAAGTCCCGGCAGAACACAGCCACTAGGGCCTCCCACAGACAGACCAGGCAGGTCATCACATACACACACATCCGGAAAAACTGTCAGGCAGGTGAGATGCACATCCTCTTGAAAGCTGCAGTTTCAGCCCCAGGAGTCCCAAAATAGGAGACACAGCCAGGATGTGCACTAAACATTGCACACCCCTGACAAAGCAGGGCTCAGTGGAGTAGAAGAAGTGGGACCCAGTCAGGGGCCCAGTCACTCCTGCACAACTTTGGGCCAAACTCAAGACCTTGGCCCCAGTGCTGTGGGTACTATTAGTCTCCACTGCTGGATCCCAGATGGAAATCTGGAGGCATACTGCCTCCAGCTCTCAGATCACAGGGACTCCGAAGTCAAGAAAAAAGAGCCAGACACGTCTGAGCCCCCTCAGGGGGATTGGGGATGTCCACTGTCCTGCCCCCTGACTGGCAACATATGATGCTCCCCCATTTTGGTAGCAGAAGCCAGGCTCGTAAGCAGGGGACAAAGAACTAGATGAGGGACAGAAATAGGAACCTCGGCAGAGAGGCACCAAGTCCAACTCACAGAGACAACTGTGGGACTGAGTAAAACAAATTTCCCCTTTGCTGCCCACCTGGGTTTTCCCTGTTGGGAAAGGGCAGAGCTGTAAATGAGAGGAGGGATCACCAGAGTTGGGGGTACGGGATAGATATGAGAGCTGAGGTTCGAATGCACAACCGGCAGCCCTGCCTGTTCCCAGCTCTTCGGCACCTCCCCAGGGCCTGGCCAGCTCACTGGCTCACCTTCCCAGTTGCAGGGGACTGACCCCCCCTCTTTGTTCCAGCTCCAGCCCCAGCTCCCTGCCATCCCTCACTGCACAGTGCTGCAGGGGCCACAGCTTCAGAGGAAGAGATACCAAGCCCTTCTGCACCATCTTGGCTTCTCACGATCAACTCGGCCAGAGATTCATCCCAGGGAGGAGAGCTGTCAGAATCTGGGTGCTGCAGTTCCCCAGCTTCCCTGGACAGCAGAGAGACATGCTCACCCAGGAAGCACAGGAGGAAGTGGGACCCCACAGTGCCTCACAAAGTCCCCTAGCACTGTCCCTTCTATCTTCAGCCCCCAAATCTGCTCTCAGCTGACTCCAGCTGGCCCCAGTGGCCAAAAGCACGGCGGGAATCTACTTGCTAAAGCTTTCCTGGCTAGAGACGTGGCAATCTCCTGCAATCTGAATTCTCCCCACAGTGGGACAGGCCCAGTGCTGGGGATTATCATCGTCACTTTGTGCGTGTGCGTGCATGCGTGCGCACGTGCGTGTGTGTGTGTGTGTGTGTGTGTGTGTGTGTGTGTGTGTGTGTGATATAGGGGCTTGAGCCCAGGGGCACTCTAACCACTGAACATACACCCACCACCCTTTTCTAGTTTTTATTTTGAGACAGGGACTGGCTAAGTAGTTCAGGTAGGATGTGAATTTGCAACCCTCTTGCCTCAGGCTCCCTCCGGATTCCAGATGTGCTCAGTGGTGCTGCACTGGCCTTTATCGGTTCTAATCACTCAGCTCTCACTGCAAGCAACAGTAAGCGAGGCAGAGGAAAGGGTTAAATGCATTGCCATGGCTTATTGGGCCAGGACTCTTGTTTTAAGATAGAAACAGTGAGGCCTTGAAGAAGAAAGAGACCTTCAAACCTGGGGAAGCCCCAAAGCCCCTACTCAGCTGGTCTCAATTCCAGACCTCAGTCCCAGGCTCAGCCCCATCACAGTGAAAGGTGTCCAGAGCAAGGCTGGCATCCAGAACACACAGGAATGATGACGCCCCAAGCAGACTAACGGCACCAAGGGATTAAGCCCAGAGCTGGACGGGGAACCCAAGGACAACATCTGTGCCCTTCTGTGGGAGCCCCGAATGCCCTGCTCTTGCCACACCCACAGCTCCACCCAGCGGTCGCCCATATGCGCCACAGCTCAGTCATGGTCACCTCAGCTGGCTGCCCTTCCCCCAGCCTCTGCTGGCCACTCAGCCCATTCACAGGAAAGCCAGGCGCAGGAAAACGGGAGAAGAGAGCAATTGTGTTGAGATTCTCTATGGAGGAGGCCAAGGATTCCCTCACTGAGGGTGGAATGGGAGGAGAACAGGGTAGCAAGGCCCAGGGAGCAGCCATGCTGATCCTACCTGGCAAGTGAGGAAGGGCTTCAGCCCCAGTTTCCTGAGCAGCCTGCTGATGATTCGCTGACAAATCTGGGGTGCTGTCACATCTGCCAGCATCACGGTCATGGAGCCACATGGACTGCTGGTGGAATGGCACCTGTGAGAGAGAGAGGGAGAGTATCTCACTCACTCTGCTCTGAATCACCTGTCCCAACACCTGTCACCACGCAGCATCCTCCTGAGGATGCCTGCTGGTCACGTGGGGTGAGGGCACAGTGCAGATTCGACAGGGGGCTCAGCAAGTCAGTCTGTACCACATGTCCGAAAGAAAATCCAAAAGGAGGAAGGTGAGGACAGAGAGAGATCCAAGAAAAGGAAGGCAAAGGTCAAAAGACACCCTTGGGCAAAGCAAGGCCAACAGGAAACTAAAGAGACCTGAGGCTGCACACGGCCCCACTCTCTCCTCCTTCAAGCCTCGCATCCACCGGAGGACGCCCTGCCCTCCTGGTCGCTCTGGTAGGACCTCTGAATTGATAAGCCTCCGAAAGAGGGGAAGAGAAAGTCAGTTTGGCAGCCCCAAACCCACACAGGTGCACACACTTTCCCAGAATCAAAGGCCCAGGGAGATGGCGCATGAGGCCCTCGGGCTTGTTCTTGATCGGAGCACCCCTTTCCCTGGGGAGGGTAGAGTCGCCTGATAAAACTGCTTAGCACAATGCTATATATAGTCTAGGTTCCTACCAGCCTAGAGATCTGGAGCTAGAACTTGGCAGGGAACCATGCTAGGTGCTGGCAAGGACTGCTCTCCTGCGCCAGCCAACCAGGAGCCTGGCCTCCCCCTGGGCACAGGGAGGGCACACAGGGCCCTGCCATGCGGGCCATTATCAGCTGCAAGGACAACAGGCTGCTGGTTTGGAGTTTAGGGTAAACTGAATGTGAGGGGATCGTGTGGAGGCTGAACACAAGTCCAGGAGCTCCAGAAAAGCAATCCAGTCCTCTCTTCCAGAGGACCAAGGGTAGGGTGCCCAGGAAGAGAATAGGGAACATGAGTAGCAAACATCTGTCCATGTCTGATGTCTGAAGAACAAATGTCAGCGTACGCAGATGAGCACTTTCTGCAGCAGTGAGCAGGACTGCCAGGCATCTGAGCTGAAGAAGGCATGGGGGCCTTGTCAACCCAGCACCAGAACATCACCTTGCACTTGCCAGCACCCTCCTCAGCATGGCTCATGCCGATAGGTCCTTCTCTGCTCTCTTCCTTCTCTGTGGAAAAGACAAGGGAGGGCAGGTGGGCTTGCTCCCTGGGGCCCCCAACAACAACCTACACAGACCACAGCTAGCGCCCTACCTGGAGTGTATATGTGGTTCTTGGAACCACAGCCCTCAGCTGCTTGTCCAGCATCCAAAGACAAGCAAGATGACTCTGGGCAAAAGGACCAGGGCCTATTGTCACAGAGTGGGTGCAGAGCCCCATCGAGGAGGGCCTGTCCAGTAGCTTGGTGCAAAGAAGCCTAAGAGGCGACAGGCCTCTCAGGAGCCCAGGCTCTCATCACACACATAGCTCAGGACACAGAGATACGAGACACAAAGCATCCCAACTCCCACGCACACATACACGCAATCTTTTTAGGTCAAGCTGCTCTGTATCCAGGCTCAAAAAGATACAGAGCTAGGGAGCTGTGGTTGCCTCTGCACTCCAGCCCCCAGCCCCTGTCCTGCTCCAGCCTCTGCCACAACCACAGCTGAGTCTCCTCTGGACTCCACTGGCTCTCAAGGCCAGGTGCCGCCCCTCCCAGCTACCCTACTGAGTCACCTGGGAGTTCCTGGTGAGAGGAGGAGATGCTTCACAAATGGCAGTGCCAGCATCAGCCACCAGACTGGATGCTAGAGACTGAGCAATGCTCACGGGGACAGCAGGGATCGAGCCCCGGGCTAGGTCGTCCCTCAGTCCCCAAGCACCCGTTGTCTGCTTGCTTTGTCCGCCTCCAGACTCTGGCTGAGGGCGGCAATGGAGAGAAGGGGAATAATGGCCCGGCAGCGGTGGTACATCCTGTCTCCTGCTCCCAAGATGGCACGCAGACACGGTGGCGCGGCAGGCGGGCACGGTGGCACGGCAGGCGGGGCGGGCGGGGGGATCACGCGCCTATGGCGCAGTGCTGCGGCACCAAGGACCGCCTAGAACCCGCACCACCATGACGAATCACAAAAGGTGAAGATCCCAGCATCCACTACTTTGCCTCACAAGGAAATGCGGTAGATGGAAGAAGAAAGCTCTCACTGGGGACATGAAGGAAAGAAAGGGCATGGCCTTTAGCTTAGGGCCCACCCTCTTTCACACGGAGATCTCTTGGCCCTGCCTCCCCAGGTCACCACTCAGGGGTCTCCATCTTCAGCCCAAGAAGGCAGCCACTCTCCTACCCAAGAAAATGATCGTCAATCCCATCACAGACATAGCTCTGGGAGAACCCCCTAGGAAGATGTCTGTCTAACGTTCGGAAGCTGTCTGTCATTTGGGACCTGTGAGAACAGCTCAAAAAAAGGACTCTTTTCCAAGCTCCCTGAACAACACAACACCACCAGCTGCACTCTGATTCTCTAACCTAAAATTCCTGGTTTGTGGTGCCGAGAGGAGGCACCTGGTGGTCCCCATTCTGAGGCCTGGCAGGGCATCTTCCTCTACCCTACCCGGCCCTCCCTGAAAATGACCCCAGGCACAGGATCAGCGCAGAGCCGATGAGCTGTTTCTGCCGCTTTCATGTTGACAGAACATTCTGGCCACTCAGTGGAGAGCTCCATCTCCCGGCTCCCGATACACTGAGTCATCTTCCAAAGAGGAAAAAAACAACAAAGCAGCCGTCACCAGGGCCCCCACTGCCGTCGACAGGCGACTCATGGCTGTCGTCACTCTCCGCTCTGCAGCCCCGGAACTGGTGATGGGGGGCATCAGGGTGCCCAGCGTCCCTCCCACGGGACTCAACAGCGTCAGAAAGCAGGCAGCCACTGCCGAGATTCCGAAAGAAGGAAAGCGAACCTGGCATCAAAAGGTTCCCAGGAAGGCTCCCTGCTTAACCCTCACTCTGCCACCTCCAGTCCTCAACACTTGGGGCCCACAGCACCCCCCTTTTTGCTTCAGAGGACAGGGTATCTAGTCCCATTGGGGAGGCACCTCCCAAGGCCTGAAGTGCCTACACCAGGTCACATCTCCCTGCTCCTGCTGAGACACCCGAGGCACACACTTCCTCCCCTAGCTCTCCTCCAGTGACAGGCACAGAGGATCCTACTGCCTGGCACTGTAGTAGGCATTTCTGCCTAATCGGTTATCACAGCTCCACCTCACAGATTGAAGACCCTAAGTCTTATCTAAAATCACCTGGTTGAGAAGAAGTAGGCCCAAGGTACAGACCTCAGTGTGTCCAATCCAAGGTCTCGACTCCTACCCCCATCGCCCAGGGCTAACCCTCCTGTGAAGACAGCATCGTCCACTCCAAGAGAAAGTAGGGAGGACAACTGGGGTTTGTCAACCTGCTGGTTTCTATCACTCACACACACACACACACACACACACACCCATCATCTGAGTGAACCTGGCCACAAAGAAGAGAAGAAAGTTAATAAGACAGGCATAGAACAGCTAAGTAACCCTGATCATGGACCCAAGAAGATCAGCCACCCAAATTCCTACAAAGCATTAGGGACTTACAACATTCCTTAAATAGCCACATTTTCAAGATCTGCCTCTGAACAGGCATCTGGCAAACACCAAGGATTCAGAAAGGAAAAATGTAAAGGCTTCGAAAGACCAGGGCTCTAACCATGACCAGACCAACTGCCAGCCACAGGGTTCCTACGCAAAGTTAAGTGAAAATAAATGAAATAACTGCCCCAAAAGAGCCTACCATGGTATCTGGCAAAGAGAAGGCACCGAATAGGCACCTGTGTTCTTCCTTTCTCTAGCCTCTCTCTTAAGAGTCCACACTGTAATAGTGATATAAGACTTCTCACAAGGAACCATAACACCATGAAAGTACCATTAGAAGAGGAGCGAGGCTTATGGGATACAGCCGCAGGCATGTCAAAACAGGAGGAGTGGGATGAGGACTGCTTCTTGTGAGGGAGACGAGAGGTCCGTGGATGAGGTGGGTCTGCCTGCCACAGGTGGACACGGTGGAGAACAGGCATGGAAAATACCACTAGTAGAAACAGGGAGAGAGGAAAAGCAAGAAAACATGAGTGGTCTGGCTGTGCTGGAATGTATGGTCCATCTAGGGAAACCGAGAGAGTGAAAGAGCACAGGAAAATTAAGGCAGTTCCAGACAGCCCGGAGCATCATGCTACAGGGAACGAATTCCATTCTGGGAACAACGAGAAACCATTTTAAATCTGTGAGCAAGACAGACAAGATGGCCGCTGCACGTAGAAGGGCCCAGAGAGGAGAGGGACGGGCAGCAGGGAGTCTGCCTGGAGGACAGCAGCCTCGGAACTATGCTCTGAAGAGGGTATGGAGGCGACACAGGTTAGAAAGAGGGCAAAGGCAGGGTCATCCAAACAAGTCCTGCAGGCTCCCGTGGACTTCACTTCCTGTCCCCATGGGGGGACTGTGGAGACAGAGCCTGTATGGGGGACACAGGTCTGACATCTGGGGTGAGCTGCTGTTTCTGCCTCCACTTGCCTCCCAACACTCAGCCCTTCCCCAGCTCAGCCTCAGGCTGATAAGGACCTGGGAAGCCCAATGTCCACAGTCCACAGAGCTAGGACCCTGGGCTGGGGAACCTCCTGCTTCTGCTGCGACCCCTGCCAGGGACTACACCTGAGGGTGAGAAGGGCACTTCTACCCCTGGGGCCACCCTCACTGCGGCAGCCACCATTGTGCCCGCCTCTGCTGTGCCTTGCCTCCCCTTCTCTCCTCCGTCACAGCACCCGCCCCCCGCCCACTCTGCGGAACTGGCACAGTGGGGACCTTAAGAATCAACGCCACCAGCCACCATGTCAGAGACTAGCAGAGATGCCTCCAAAATGGCAGCCAGTCCGAAGGATCCGAAAAGGGGTCCTCCCAGGGAAAGATGAACCAGAGACAAAACCTTTGACCACCTCCCCAGAGGCCTCCACACCTTCTTCACACTCACAACTGTCAGCTCGTCTTCGTCTGCAGGAACTGCCTCCCCAAATCAGAAGGGAGGCACGACCCTCCCCCACCCCAAGAGGCCTGGGGGCCATAGGTGACTCAGGGCATTCAGGAGGATGGTCTGCGGCCCACGCTCTGGGGTAGGACAGCAAACCATTTCTCTCCTCATACCTTTCTGGTCAAGAGCTACCCCTGCCACTGCCCCCCATTATATCTCCCCCCGGCCCGAGGGCCCCGGGAGCAAGGAGGTAAGGTTACAAGGAAGGGTCGAGAAGGCACACACTGGCCCTCCGTTATGTAATGAGGAGGGCGGTGCTTGTCCTAGGCCGGAGACTCAGGGCGCAATGCGCTTCCAGATGCGCAGTCATGGGTGGGGGCCACTGCGCATGGCCCAGGCCTCTGGAAACCCCCTCCCCACCCATTTGAGACCAACCCCATGGGCAGGATGAGGAGCCAGAACCCACTCTCCCTCCCCCATCACAGGTGACCAGCCTGCTGCCCCAGTTTTATTCTCACTCTCCTGGTTCCTCAGACCAACAAAACCATCCTCACCCAGGACCTCCAAACCGCTTGTTGCCCGATGACTTTTTTGGGAAATCCCACAAAATACCCAATTTCTGGTGGTTGATCCCCATCCTCACCTTTCCATGCACCAGGCAGCATCAACAGCTTCCAAAAGGAAGGCGCTTCTTCCCGTGGTAGACTAGGCTCAGGACTGGCTCTGAAGGACCTCTGGACAGCCGGACGTCAATGCAAATCTCCTGTCCCCTGGGAGTAGCCTGGAGTCAGCAGGAAGCCCAGGGTGGTGGCAGCAGCAGTTCTGCCCTACCTTGCCCAAGCGTTTCCAGGGGAGCCAAGAATTATTTTGCCACAACACTGAGGTGTGGCTGATTGGAAAATTCCCTTTTCCAACAACAAACTAGCGGACAAATATTTCCTTCCAATGTGGTCAAGCCTTGCATACCCATCTCTGCAACCTTCCTCCCTCCAAAAACGAAGAAAGTTTGGGAAGCCCTGAGCTATCCTTCCTTACAGTACATGCAGTTTAAAAAGGCACAGAAGAGGCTTCGACTGGGCAGTCAAAAGCAGGCAGACACAAGAGCCTACGCACACCCCTAAAGAGATTTTAGAAAGCTGCTGGGCTGCTTCCCCCTCCCCTTCAAGCAAGTGAAATGCAAATTCAGATTTGATACCCTGCCCTCAGCCAATCCAAGAAAGCTTTTCACCTGCCACTGGCCTACCCACCAATCAGAGGAAGTGTCTGGAATGAAAGCCCTCCCCTGGCCAATGGAAGGCCAGCTCAGTCACTTAGTTAAAGATGCAGCAGTACAGGGAAGGCCATCACATGTGAACTGGAAGGGAGCCAACATGGAGACACAGAGAGCGCAAGGTAAACAACTTTCCAACGCCAAAAGGATGACATTTAATCTCTAAATGCTAGCTTCACTTCTCAGCTCATCCTTAACCCTTTTCAGCTGGTTCCACAGATCCTGGGAGTCTCACTACCTGTCCCCACAGAGCTCTGAAGGAGACGCAACAGTGACTGCGTCACCATTCTCCACTTTCCCAACTACGCAGAGACAAACCTATCAGCTTTACCCCACTTCTCCTCACTCACACCCCACCTGACCACACACTCCTAAACAGCCCCAGATTGCCACAGAACCCCTGGCAATGACTGCCCCTGCTGTGCCTTCCTGCTGACCCTTCTCCCTCTCCTCCTACTCACTTCCCACCTTCCACATAAACCCTGCGCAGACAGATGGACACCAACATCAGAACAACCTGGAAAATCAGTCCTTCTGACCACCAGAAGAAATAAGGATAAAGGCTGGGGCATCAGGTGGGAAGCAGGGGACAGCTCACTCCTTTCTCCTCTGCCATGGTCAAGCTTGAGCAACTGACAGTCAGAAGAAATTAAAGTGAAAAAAAACCCTCCCTCGGAGAGGAAAAAACCAGCAAAAAGAGAGAAAGAAGATGACAGAAGCAGAGCACCCACATATGCAGACGTCGCCCCTGATTCCGGCAGATACATACATGGGGAAGAAGCGGGTTACGCCATCAAGTCCTGAAGCCCATCAGACCACCCATCGTTGCCTGCGCAGACCCAAATCTCCGTCCAGCCGTGAGGTGCCGCAGTCCCGAATGTTCCAGAATCCGGTCCCGTTAAACCTTCTGCTGTCGCCCCACAACCTCTTGCTCCCACCCCTGCCCCCCCAACTCCTCCCCACGGGAACCGCCCGTGCCACCTTGCGTGACATCTCCTCAGCCCAGACTACCCAGAGGCCTCTGGCTCCAGCAGATCTCAAGGCTTGGCAAGTGAGCTCGTGGAACCCAGTGCCCGGTGTTGCTATGACTTGGTTCTTGATTTCTCTCTCTCTCTCTGCTGCAGCACGGCTGTTGCTAGCAGACCTATCGACGGAGCTCGCTTGCTCGAGCGCTCGCGCTCTCTCTCTCTCTCTCTCTCTCTCTCTCTCTCTCTCTCTGAGCTCTGTGACGCAGATCTAAATTCTCCAGTCTGCTCCTTGTGTTGCAAGAGCAGAACTGCAGCTTTTCCCCTGGAGAGCTGCAGGGCACTGCCAAGGCTGGTCAAACAAGACAAAAAAAAAAAAAAAAAAAAAAAGAAAAGAAAGAAAGAAGAGAAGAGAAAAAAAGTTGTGCCTACACTCTGCTTCCTTGGCCATTCTTCTTTGCACCTCACTGCTACGGGACACACAGGCCCATGTTCCCTGTAGCTTCAACTGTGCTTTTCAGACTTCCCAGTCCCAAGCCTCCTTCTCTCTGAGTGGTAGCCCCTGAACCCAGACAGGGCTGTCCCAGGCTAAATGTTGCATCATCTTTTCTTAAGCCACATGGGTTTCCCCAGCCACAGGGAAAAAAACTGGTCCTTATCCTGAGACCACCATCCCATTAAACTTCTACCACAGACAAATCCAAAATTAGAGTTAGAGCTGATTTCTGTAGAGTTGATTTCTGTTGTTTTTGCCTTTTTGGCCACCAACCAGGACCTTTTTCTCCCTGGAATTTCCTAAGGATAAAAGGCGTAATTAAAACATTGCCTGCAAACCCTACAAAGTGAGATCCTTCTATCAGGGCAGGAATTTGAAAAACCAAATTGAACAGAGTCAAACCAATCTGGATCTCCATTCTTTCAGGGTTCACAATTTAGAGTTTAGGTAGACAGATCCAGTTACTTCCCCAAAGGCACTTTTAGGCCACACAGACCAGAGATTCAGGTTGCTGAGTCATTTGTTCCCAAGAAGAGCCTTCTGACAACACGAAAAGCAGCAAAACATAGCGACTGCCAGTCTTGGACCTCAAGCAGCCAGTGCCTGGGTTCCTCTCTCCAGGACAGGCACCCAGTTAAGATGGGCACTCACCAGCTCTTCGTCCCACATGGCTCGGTGCTGACCCCCTTCCTGGGCAGGCAGCATTTCCACTGACCCTCAAAAATGGACAAAGGTGGGCTGTGGATACTGACGGGCTCCGTGCAGCAAAGCACAGGGTCCTCAATACCTCCCTGACCCTCCAGACTGACAATACATCTGAAAACGGCTCAGATATTAACCCAAGGAACTCTCCTGACCTAGACACACCTCTCAACTCTCGAATTCCCACCCAGCTATGCGCAAAGGATGCACACATGCAACCAGCTGCACTGTAGGAACCTAGAGCTGACCAGACGTAGAAGATACATTTGTGTCCAGGGGCAGTGGATCCATAAAGCACACTACATCAAGAATCTTATGGGAACACAAATGAGTGAGAGGCCAGGCAGCCCTCTCACCCCACATCAGCTTTCCAAGCAGCCTTCGTCAAGCAATTGTACTGGGCCAAGTTCTCACCGGCAGAACGAAGGACCACTTGGAAGACAACCATGGCAGTCCATGGTTTTAAAAGAAGCCCAGAGGCTCTGTGCCAGGCTCCCAGTAGGGGGGAAAATGCTTTAAATTCACACCTTCTGGGTTCTAGGGTGGAGCATGCCAATAAAGAAGTCACCTACTGGTCTGATGACCAAAGGAATGTGGCCCTGATGGCACTAAAACCAGTCCCCCAGAATGGTCTTCTGCTTACTCAAATCCTATTTGCCATAGTTTCCTTCTCCATGGAAGAAAAACATGCCTAAGTTCATGTCAGGACATTCCTGATTTATCCAAGAGCCCAGGATCAAATAAACAAAGGGCTCCGAGCTCTGCCAGGGAGCCTCCTCCTTCAGGAGGGAGCACTAGAGGGAAGCAGGCTCCACAGTGCTGGGCCATCACCCCGTGAACTTGGCAAATGACGTGGCTGCTCAGTGCCATGGCAATGGAGATGTCACGGGTGGGTGGACTTGAGGAGGCGAAAGAGTCATGAGAGATGAATGAGAGCAACCCAGGGTCAGAGGAGGGACACTCACAGCCACAGAATTTGTCAAGAGGCCACTGTGGTCTATAACCCCCAGCAGCATTGGGCTCAAGCCTGTACAGAGAGAAGTCCTACTCTCAGGGTAGTGCGGCAGGGACCAACTGTGACTTGCAGAACATTATGACGACACCCTGTGGGAAGTTTTGTTTCGTTTCACCTTTGGTCTCAATCTTTTTCTTCCCACAATCCCGCTACCCCTCCTACAAATTTACTAGTATTTAAAGAGTCATTTTTAGGCGCCTCTGTCCAATTCTAGGTCTTCCATCTATTAACCTGATTCTGCAGGGCACCAGGAAAAGAAAAATTCAAAAGAGACAACCAGGAAGCAAAAATGAATTCAGATCCAAAAACATGGAAGGATGTTTACTTAGCAAGCATGCTCCAGCCGACAAGGAAGCAGTTTTACAGAGTGCCACATGCAGTGTTTGGTTTCAGGGGGTAAAGATAACTCCAAAGTAGAGAGAAGGCCAGGCCAGGGCAAACTCAAAAAAGGCAGGACTTCAGCTCCAGCCCCAGGGCTCACAGGCTCACTGTGCCTCTGTAGCTACCGGCCTTAGGCACTGAACGTCTCCCTGAGCATTGTGAGTTCTCCCAGTGATCTGGGTCAAAACTTCCAAATGCCAAAAACAAGCCTACTTGCTTGCTTTCTCGTTCTTTCTTTCTTTTCTTCTTTCTTTCTTTTTTCTTTAAAAGCAATGAGTTGAACTTTGACCGCCCTCGTCCAGGGTGTGGAATGCAAGCACTCTGTACTGGCCACGAACTCCTGTCCAGCAAGCATCTGCCAGAAAGGCAGGTTTCATGCAGCCTCTCTGTCCTCTCATTTCCTCATTGAGGCCGGCTCTACAGGGACTGGGCTTCACACAGAGAAAGAATCCAGGCTCTCAGGGCAGGGTGGTGGTGCAGGGACCGTTTCATACTCTGTGCAGATATCTGGAGCTACCCGAGTGCTCCAGATAAACCAGGGAGCAGTTCAGTCTCAGGTGGAAGTGGCACGTCTACATCCACAGCAAGATGGCATTTTTCTTTATCACCTAGGACAGTGCAGACAACTGGTGATCCCAGTAGGAGAATTATTTACTATGGACCTTCTAAGTGTGAGGCCAACATACAGGGCAGAAATACAGGATGTGGGCCAACAAGCCAGCTGATGACCCTACGTGCAATGTTAGCATCTCAAAAATCTACTCTCTGAAAGCTGGAGTTCACTTTCCCAATGAAATACTATGAATCATACTGGTTGGGTTCCCAGGATACCCCATAAAAGCCATGTTATCACTTTGAAAATCACTGGCTCCCACACCCTCAGGGGAGCAGTAGGCTGGAGAGGAACGTGCAGAGGGAAGAGACCCGCCACACCACATGGGCAGCCAGTCTCAGGCTCTTCCCCCACACGGTCATCTGGGAATAGAGACCCAAAGAGTTCAACTCATCCAGGTTTTCCAGGATAAGAGGAAAAATCAAGCCTTGTTATGTTAAATTCCTGGTTTTTAAACTTGTCAAAAAATTTTTAAAAAGTCAAACATACCTAGAGTTTCCAGTCTGTCCTCCAGATTCAAAATTTAATACTTTTGCTATGAAAAGAGGAAACAAGCACTGCCAGAGTGAGGAATTCAATAAAATAAACAAGAGTAATACACTCAAGGAGAACCTACTACACAGATGCTGTTACGTGGGGAGAGGAAAGGCAGAGAGGAAAGCAAGGAACACCAGAATTTTCAGGGCAGTGGTTGACCCAGCCCTACACGCGAGGCCACAGGTGCAGTGCTGTATCTGAGTTACTTTTAAGTATGTATGATACCATTAAACTCCTGACCCCCCAGAAGGCCCAAGGACTCATGCTGATACACTGGCTTTTCCCCACTGAGACACCCACATGGGTCTGTCCAGGGCTTCAGTGACAAAGTTGAAAAGGATTATCATAATCCCAACACCACCCGAGGCACAGAGTCCTGCAGAAACAGCACCATGACCAAGTCACTGCTTACCCTGTCCTTGATAAGTAACTCCCACCCACCTTTGGAGGGTTCAGCCGCTTGAGCACAACCAAGATGACAGTTCTGGAGAGAGGCACTAACTTTCAGGTCACTGCCCAGCCTTGGAGGCCCATGGCACAACCTACTTCCCTAAAGACAGAGATTAAATTTCAGAGTTTTTATAACCGAAAGTTTCTAGGTTCAACAAGACGGTACAAAAAGGGAAATGAAAAAGGAAGGGGAAAAAAGAAGCCGGAGAGCAATATTCTCAAAATAGCGGATCAAAAGTTAGCAAGCCAAAGGAAAAGAGGAAGAGGCATGAACGTTCATGAGAAGGGAGGTCCTTGGGACATCATATGCAGTGAGGCGAAGCAGCTCGTGGGAAATGAAGGCCCACTGTCCACCAAAGCAACAGGAGACCCATGGCTTAGCCCCTTCCCGGGGGCAGAACCAGGCTGTGTCACTGATGAGGACACCTTGATCAAAACCTGGAGCTGGTACAAGATAGGACTCTCAATTTCCCCAGAAGGAGGGGCTCTTTTTTCTCATGGGCTTGTTAAGAGTTATTTTCCCTATTCTGAATATGAGTCAATCAGAGGTACTGCATGTATTCTCTCACCACTGCTTGCTTTCACTTTTACTGGTGTCTTCGTGATCAGAAGTTCCAGCTTTTAATGTCATTCAATTTATCAGTCTTCCCTTTACAGTGAGTGTTTTCTGCGTCTCCTATAAGTAATGTGTGGCTATCGCGGGGTTGTAAGATACTGCCATATTGTATATGAAGCCTTATTTTAATTTTCATGGTTAGATTGAGGATCTTGCTGGAATTTATTTTTATATATGGTCAAGACTTATTTATTCCCTTGTGGATATTCCACTAGAGTCAGAACTGCGTATTAAACCAGCCTCCCTTCCCCTCGGCTCAGCAGTCCTGTGTCCTACGTCAGGTGTCCTGATATATCTACAGGTCTGGGCTTCCTGTTCCTTTCCTTTGGTCAGAAATAAGAAAGAGAAAATAGACTTACACTGCAATAGAATGACTCACCTTTAAGATTATGAAAATATAAATTAAAGAGTCAGTGGTTTGGAGTAAGCTCCACATTGACAGGCATAGTTTGTGAAGGGGTCCTAGCCTGGGTTTCTCAGGAAGAAAAGATGAGGAAGAACAGACAAAGAACAGCAAACTGAGCTAAGGAAGGAAAACATGGGGTAAAAAAAGTGTATTTATAAGCCATAACTATAAGGAATTAAGAGGACATGCTCATACAGCTCAAATTCCCTGGCTCACACTATTTAACTATACAACCTATAGTCAATTACCTTGGCCTTTCTGACCCTCAGTTTCCTAATCAGCCAAGCAGGGGTAATCTATCTCATTGGGCTGTGGTGATTAAATAGGCTGATATATGTCACTCTTCACAGAGCTTAGCTCTCTTCAGCATTCAAGAAATGTTGGGTTCTATCATCACTAGTGATGCTATAGAGGCCAGCCAGACTTCAGCTATACACTACTAAACAAGGATAGTACATAAGTAGTTAAAAACTCCCAAATGAGACAAACTTCAATCTGAATTCTTATGCAGCCTCTTTACTCTTTATATAAATTTGAACATTCTTAACCTTCCTAAGTTTCTAACTTCAGCTTTATTCAACCCCTCACAGGGGTTTTCTTGGAGGCCTTATTGTGAGAGACACAGAACATTAGCATTGAGCCCAATACAAAGGAAATGCTCAGTGAAGCCCAGTTATCATTTTGATGATGGTAACACTGACCGTGATTACCTGGCATAAGAAAAGGCCTGTTAACACCAGGACTTCCATGTGAGCACTACTCAGATGCAACCAAGCCTAGCTTCTTAAAGAAGTAGACAAGATCAAGTATGCTCAGGTCATAAGTCAAAGGCACAGAAGGCAAGGGAATAAGGAAAGCAAGTGAAAGCCAAGTTGTGGGCTGGGAATGTGACTCAGTGGTGGAGTGCTAACCCAGCACACTGCGGAGCAGGTGAGAGGCCAACTTCCTGCGACAGTTCAATACTTGGTAGGAAAAAAATTTCTGATCTTGGGAAACTTTGGGGAACTTCAAAAAGAAACAAAAACCAAGACTTTATAAATGTACACAATCACTGAAAGAATGAAAACAGGCTTGGTGAGTTGGGGAAGGGGGTCCCGCAAAAAAAAAAAAAAGGCCCTTGTGATTTAAAGGTCAGATGGTGGAGTTCACAGACAAACAGTTCCTCATCAGGGCCCCCAGTAGTGCCGACCATGCTCCGGTCAGACTTCTGCCTCAGAGGAAGTGTCCTAGGGCCACTGTGGAGATTTCCCCATCAAATCCCCACCCCAGCGGATGACGGGACTTACACGTAGGTCACAGAGCTGAAGTGAAACAAGGCCCCGCAGTGACGACAAGCACCACAAGGACACAGTGCAGTGCCAGATGCCAAGTGAAAATCCCAGAGACAAGGGCTAGGACAGGATGTGCTGGAGGGTAGGTCCTGGCAGAGCTGAGACAGCAATGCCAACACAAAAAGCCACCACAGACAGGGAGCTGGAGCCAGGCGACAACCACCAGCCCTGAGAACACAGGACTTCAGGGTGATCCAGGACGAGTGAAGGCCATTCAGGCCCTGACTTCCCGGTCCTCATGGAGGAGACTCCTCTACCACCAAGAGTCCCTCACAGAATAAACCTACGGGCAATACCATGACAGGGAACATTCAGGGGATGGCTGGCCTGGGATGATGACACTGGTCAGTATGTCCAGTCACAAGTCAACACCTTCTCCTGGACATGGAGTCAGCCTGCCTCTTGAGCCAAAAATTCGGGCTCCAAAGTATCCAGACCAGGCTGACCCTATCACTCCTGGGAAAGTAAAAGAAGCCAAAATGTCAGTCTTTTCCTAGGCCACCAATCATTAAATGTAAGCTCCTAGCCCAGCAGGCTCACAGCTTGGCCTAAGGCAAAACCCTTCCTGGCAATGGAACTGCTACCTGCTCTTCTCACCAGACCACTCTTCTAGTCACCAGCCAGAGCCCCTGGTCCAGGGGGCGTCCAGTACCAACCCAAATGCAAGGATACCAAGTCTTCCTGGGATGTGGGGGAAAACCCAACGTGCCTCTCGACTGAGTGCTCTCAAAATCTTGGCCGTCATCTGAGGGAAATTATTTCAAGAGATGGAGTCGGGCTGCGCCACGTAAGTCAGAACAGAGACCTCCGTATCTTGTTCCTCAACAGCAACACCAATACTTGTGCCACAGGTTAGACATAGGCAGGGGCACAGGAGTCCTGGCCACATGGCCTCCAAGCCCAGGCCTGAACCCATGGACAGTCCTGATGCTCTCATGGACAGAGGTCTCCGGGGCATGTAGCACCTACACACCAATGACTCCTGAGACTGTGTTGACCTCTGCATGACCACACCATCTGAGCCCATGACTTAAAAATGGAGTCTCTCCCACCTCAGCACAAACTACCACTTCACCTGACTGAGTCAGATCGAGACAGCTCAAATCTCAAACGCAAGCGGGACGGGGATTCCCAAACCACTCTGAGTTCAGCTTTTGTTTCCATAATGCTCTGGCCTTATAGGCTTCGCAGGCCACACCCACAGCCTCCAGTGGAAGCAATGGCACCTTCACCAACAGGCCCGTGCTTTCCCAGGGAGGTTCCTGCAAGGCGAGTGTCCTGCGGGTATGAGTGCAAGTTTCTAGAAAGCAGACACGGCAGAAGCCCCAATGGACCCTCCAAAAGCTGTGTGTCACCAGAGGGCTGGAGAACAGAGGCCTCTATGAGCAGCTGAGAGTCCAAGACAAGCCCAGTGTTCCCCAGCACACTCTCAGAGAGGCTCCAGCCTGCCAGCCAGTGGGACAGGCCTATTCCTGAGTCTCCCCCTAACCCTGTGGACAGCAAGGGCACCCAACACAACCACCACCTTTCCTACCCTAAATGACACAGGGCCTCTGTCCACATTCAAGTGGGCTGGGACAATAGCCAAAAGAACACCTTAGTACACTGGGGCTGCAAGGTTACTGACGCCATCTAGATTTACCATGCACCAAGACCAAGAGTGGGCCTTGGGCTCAAGTCCACACGGCAGGATCTGGGTGGGTCTCCTCACCTTGGCCTAAATTTTCTCATGTATAAAGTAGGGCTGATCAACGCATTGCTTCTCTCCATAGTATGGCTGAGTAAATGACACAAATGCACATGAGCAAAACATTTAGTAACTGAGCCTGGTACCCACCAAGAAGTCAGCAAGTGGTGATCATCACTAGTGTTTTCATCATGAGCAGCCCTACAGAATGGTCATTCGCTTACACAAACAACATGAGACCCACAGCAGGGGCTCTCTACCTGACAGTGTCACCCAGCTCCCCTCCTTCACACCTTTTCCTGCTCAAAAGGCAGGGAAGCATCTCAGTTCTCTGAACCACATCTACCTCCACTCCTGCCTCCCTTACCACAAACCCCAGGGTTGCCCTGAAGTCCGCAGAAGTAAAGCCCGACACCTGCTTCCCTGGATGTTCATTTAAATACACAACACTGGGGGCTGGAGGTTTAGCTCAGCGGCATAAGCACCTGCCTTGCAAGCAGGCAGTCGTGAGTTCGATCCCCGGTACCGATAAAAAGGAAAAAGACCAAAAAAAATGTAAATATACAACACTGTGCCTAGCAATCTCCCCACTCTGGGGTAAACACTGTCAGGCCTGTAAGTATTATTCACCTGCCAGAACCCCTCCTCTATCCTGCTGTGTTTTTCTAATTAGTCAAGCGTTAGCTCAGCGATCTCTTCCCCTGCTCCAGAGTGGCTTGGGCCACTCTGTGACTACAGGATTTCAGACTCCTGTGCAGAGGCCACCCCTGAAGCTGCCCGGAACTGTCCAATCCACCTTGGTCTCTACCCCCACTGCATCCTGGAATTTCTTCAGGAGTTTCTCTGTCTTGATCTTAGAATCTATCAAAAAGCCTTTGTTGAAGTCTTTCAATGCGCAGTGCTTTAAATCATTTCATACATGTCATCTGCACTACTCTTTCTGCTCCCTCTCCCTTAGCTGGGAATCCATTCCAAAGCTCACCTGCTTCTTTTCCAAGTGTTCACTGAATGAATCCTTTCCACCTGGCCAAACCCTAGCAGGGAGAAGGCTCTTGGACACCACTGACATTGAAATAAAATCTGAGGCCCCTGGTCGCTACTCAGCTAAGCAGTATGTCTACTTGTATTCTCTGTTCATTTCTGGGCAAAATCGATGGAAATCCTGCAGGCCCACATGTGCTGCAATGACTAAGCTTCTGTGTCCAAATGCCAACAACACATGGAACCCCAGTATGACCAGGGCTTGCTAATATGCTGTCACAGATTGTGTCCCATGGGGCGCATCTGATCTGTCCACCGAGGGTCTGAACTTTTCAAGGACCCCGGTCAAGCTTTAGAATGCTTTTTCACTCCTCTGAAAACTGTGCTGTGAGCAGTATTGAATTGTTCGTGTTGACTGGTTGGATGAGGCCTCCCCAAGTCCCAGGCAAACACTAGAAACAGGCTTACTTGATCCAAGCCCCTTCACCGCCCACACTGCACCTCTCTGAGGTTTCTGTTACTTTCTCCTTCCTTTGATCTGGACTTATCAAACACATGTTCACTCTCCCAACTCCAGCTTCTAGAAAGGGTCCCCCAGCAGTTTCAAAGTAATCTATGGTGCCATGAACACAGCACTCTTCTCTCCCTTTGGCTGGAGAGCACTGAGGCAGCTTACTATGGAGCTAAAACTAGGAGCCCTGGAAGGTTTTTCCACCAGGTGCTTTTCCCTGTGGCCTCAAGTGAGCTACAAAAGGAGACAGAAATCAGTTAACTCCCCCCATAAGCATCTCACACTTTCCCAGCAAATCAAAGACCACCAGCTCCTCTGGCTACAAACTATAGGTTTGGTTAAGAACACAACTGTCCTTCCCCACCTGTATCGTAGCAGAAGAGGAGGAAGGGGAGGCATCTCTCGGGCACTAGACGTGGGAGGAGGGACGAGGCGTACGTGCCTTCAGGGCCTCCCAGCGGGGCTGCAGCCCTCACTGCTGTCAGGAGCACACACAGGCCCACAGGGAGACAGCAAATCCCTCCACTTCGACAGCTCACTCCAGACAGAATCTTAGGGTCCTCCGACTCGTGGACAGGAGGCCTAAAGCCCTTCAGAGACATTCTAGGTGCCTGGTATAGTGAATTAATGAGCTCTGACCAGTATCTCCCAATTTTACTAAGTATTTCCAATACCTACAACCATGCCAGGCACACTGTTTGTGGATGTCGCTACAGAATCCAGGACATGAGGGAAAAGAGAATCAAAATTAAACGTAAGATATGGTTCATAACCAAAGGCATTCCTAAAATAGCTTCTGGAGCTGACATGATTTGAGAACAGTTATAAAACAGCCTCACTGCTAGGAAGCTTCTCAGAGGCCTGGGCAGCATCTTATGGCCTCTGTGCCACCAACCACATCGAGCAATCAAGTCCGGCAGCCATCGCTGACACACAGACCAACGAATGTGGGGATAGGAACGTAGGATGCCGCCCACAGGGCCTATTTCTGAACACCGCTGTCAGGGTCACAGAACGCCAAGGTCCCAGGTGACTGCTTCATCCCCTTCCACTACTCTAGAGCTCTCGGTAGGAGAAATGCATCCCAGAGAGCCCCCTCCCAGACACACGCACCCTCCTTCCTACCCCCACCCTGACATTGGACTCCTCCCATTTGCCTTGTCTTTCTCATACAGAACCAAGCAACATGTTAACAAATGTCAGGAACTCTTTCTGATCAAACTTTGCTCTCCACCAAGATGAAAACCACAAGCTTCACTGATCCTCTCTGTGATCTGTAACCTGCTTGAGGCCAGGAGAGGTTCTGGCCAGCTGACCTGCAGAACATAGGCACCTCCTGGGGCCTGCAGGAGGCCTACCTACGAGATTTGTATCCTTCCCTGGGGTCTGACTTTCCCCCAAGGCCACCCTAGAATGTCAGCCCTCAGCTCCCCCAGGCACAAATGTTATCCTCGTGCCCCAGGAAAGCCTTCAAATAAAGCTAAGTCCCCAACGAGTATCACTTTGCTATTTTATTTTCCCAAATAGCAATATCCTCATCACAAACACAGACTTCAACCTTCGTCCTGCAAGCCTGTGCAAGGCCCCTCCCTACACCACGGAGCTGGTGCCATCATGGCGGGGACTGGAGGAACCTGTCCAAGGAGCCACAGCTGGGAGCCGGGCTCCAAGCCCAGGCGCTTACCCACAGCACCATGCAGGACATCGTTCCCTTACTGAGGACCCAGGCCCCATCTTCATATCCAAGAATCCCGACAAGAAGCAGGAACTAGACATATTTCCTTCCCCAAAAGCCCAAAGCACAGGGACCTTTCTCGGCACGTATTTTTAAGTAAGTTTTTACTACTGACTCATTTAAATGAGATGCAATGGCTGTGTAGCCCTTTCTAGTTTACAAAGCACTTTTGTAACAAATTACCTTACGTCACCCCTTGCAGAAGCCTTGTTAAATATACACAAGTACTCTCATTTTATAGATGAACAAATGAGAAAAGCTAGGTGACCCAGCCAATGTGGCTCAGTCGATGAGCTGAGTGAGTTCAGTAACGAAACCCAGGTTAAACCCTGCTTTCTGGGCACCTATGTCACAAGAAGGAAGTGCACTGGGATGGACAGTGGGGCCTCAGGAGTCAGAAACACTCCCCTCAGCTGGGGGCTTGTGGCAGGTAATTGATTCCACCTCATTTGACTTTCTTCCTCCACAGAACCACATTTCTGACCTCGGCCCATCACTACATGAGAATGAAGTGAGATAAGACCCACAAAGTGCTTAGCATGCTCCATGACACACAGTGAACATTCAGGAAAGGGCTGCTGGTTTCCATCATGCTCTGTTCCCCTTCAACTCAGCACACATGTCACTGTAGCTACCAGATACCAGCAGAGGCAGCAGGTGCTCCATGTAGGAAGCATCTTTCTCAAGACCCAGGCACTGTGTCCCCTATGCCTCAACAAGAACCGCAGGACACAAATGTCAAGAATAAGCCTGGTGCCATAGGCAGGGAGTCTGGCCATGTTATGAGGTCACAGTGACCAAGACTATGTTCCACCAGGGAGGCCGGACCCAGGCTTCCAGCCACAGCAGCAAGAAGGACACAGCGTCTGCCCTCCAGGCACACCTCAGAGGCAAGCAGAGAGCAGAGAGAGTGGGAGCTGTCATGGCCGGCCAGGGACAAAATGGCCGCCAGGCCAGGCATGTGGTAGCCAAGCGGGTGGTGGCAGGGCCAGCACACCACGTCCTCCAAGCAGGGCGCAGCCTTGCCACACTCAGCTTCACACCCTCCTCCTCCACCTCCTCCTCCTCCTCCTCCTCCTCCTCCTCCTGTGGCCGGGGCTCTGCTCCCGGGGCTCTGCTCCCGGGGCTCTGCTCCCGGGGCTTGGGAACACGCCTGTCCTTGGTGAGAAGAGCAAACGAAAGCACATGGCCTACTTCCAGCAGCCTTGCTGTTTCTCACTTTCAGACGAAAATAATAAAAACACATAGGCACGCGTACATGCATACACACATATGCAGGCACACACAAAGACTGGGAAGTGAGGGAGAAGTGGCAGCTTGGGGCTGGCAAGAGGGCTCACGCGGCCCCGGCTGCAGTCACCTGGCAACCTGCAGAAGGTGTGGTAGCCAGGCGGACGCACTCAGACCAGCATAGAGCCGGGGCCAGTCGGGCCGGGAGGGAAGGTCACCGCCTGCTGGCCTGGCTCCTGGTGCTAGGCTGAGGAGGGGCAGGGTACAGATGGGCCACTGCCACCTGCACAACTCGTGACTCTCAGCCATGTGTTCCCAGCAGCTTCCCCGTCACCCTGCTAACTCTCTCTTCTGCAATCCAGGCTAGATACTTCTGTCATTATCTCCTCTACAATTCTGAACATCACATTCCTCTCCTGCTCTGAAACCTGCCATGGCTCCCCTATGCCTGACCCCAGCATCCCTCTATACAGTGAGCCCAATCTTCCCTCCAACCTCAGTTTCCCCTATTCTCTCCACCGTCTGCGCCTCATTGCCTCTTCCACAGGCTCCCCTCTTATATGCCCCCTCTCAGCCTGCACCCCAAGTTCCTTTCACGCGCTTTTACTGAATGTCTACCAGGGAGCAGGAACCAAGCCTAGCAATAACACTACAGTAATATCAGACACAGCCTATTGACAGCAAGCCTGTAGTCATGACGTGCAAATCAAGTAAGCCCATCAATGCTACACAATTGTGACAGGCAACAAGCATCACAGAAGAGCACTGGGCATGGGCAAGACACTGTGTTAAGCCCTTTTACACGCCCATTTAATCCTCTCAGTAGCCCTCTACCATGAGCGCAAGTACTATCAACCTCATTTCACAGAAGAGGAGGCTGAGACAAAACAAAAGCCAAGTTCAACTTACTCAAAATCACCTCAGAGATACCTGCATGCCTATGATGCTATAGCACTATTCTGGATGGGTGAGCCAGTCAATCAACCAGGCCATCTATCAACGGATAGCAAAATAGATAAGATGCGGCATATAAACACAGCAGAATACTACTCAGCTCTTTAAAAGAATGAACCCCTGAAATTTTCAGCAACGTGGAGAAAACTGGAGATAACTGTGCCGAAGTAAAATAAACCAGGAACAGAAAGACAAGTACTGCGTGTTCTCACTGGATGTGGAAGCTAAAAATGTTGGCAGAAGCAGAGAACAGAAGAGTGGCTAGCGGAGCCTGGGAAGGGTGCTGGGGGAGGGCGAGGTGGACAGAGGGTGGGCAGGGAGCAGCAGGGTACAGGCGGATGGGGAGAATGACTTCTAGTGTCCTGCAGCACTCACAGTAACTAAGGCCTACCTCAATCTGCTACCTAGTTGAAAATAACTAAGAGCTCACATTCTCAACACACTGAGATGATAAATGTTTGAGGAGGTGGAAATGTCAACTTCCCTGAGTTGATCATTGTGCGTTGTATCCTACAAGGGTGCACAGATATTATAGTCAGTTCTCGATTTAGGAACGAGCTCCCTTCTGGGAAAACACTTGTAAGTTCGACTCGTTCATATCCAGCAAAGTGAGTGTCACACGGGACACCTGTGAAAGTTCACAACTCAAATGTTTCTGATTCGAGGACTTACTGCAGATGTCAACTTACAAAATAAAAAATAAATCACCCCAAGTGAAGGACAGATTTCCACAGACTGGTCACTTGTGGGAGAGAGGCTGGCACCAGTGCCAAGACTCAGCAGGGTGGCCATGCTCACAATAAAGCCAAACCCCGAATGCATGGCCATGGCCACGGCAACTTCCTTCTACTTCCCGGGATAATGTCCTGGGGGCAAGGGACTCCCCAGAGGGAAGAGCTGCTGCAGGTAGAAAGTGAAATGTGACCAAAGGCTTCCCTCACTTATTGTAGGAAAGCAGGCAGAAGGGGACGCACATGTGAGCAACAGCCAACTGTCATGGTGTGACAAATCCACAGGAAATCCACTTAGCATCTCCATTTCTCCCAGGCCATGCAGAGAGAATCAACCCCAGGTTTACTGGGGGCTCCACAGTGCTCCAGTCCTGTTTCTGGCAGCAACTGGGGAGGGTACCTCTGGGTGTCTTGCATGGTCCCCTCCTTCTGTCCCTGTGTAGCTGTGACTCTTGGCATGGTTAAGAGAGTCCGCACTCTGTTGCCAGCTGGGCAGCCCTCCCCTCGGCAGGCTGGGCAGGAGTGGATGCCCTTTTAGATGATGTCATGTGGGCATTTGGGGACTGGGTTTGTCCACCTCGCTCTGCTCCTCCAGGTCCACTGTGGACAGGGAGCAGAAGGTACAGCTCGGGGTTGCACATGGCAGCACAAGGTGAGGGCGCCTGGCCTGCAGCCTGACTCCCAGTCTTTCCTCCTCCTCCAGTTACAGTAGGAATCCCAACAGGGTGTCTCGTGGCCCTCACAGGTGGAGACCACTAGACACCTCCAGCTTACTGCCACCCCTCACCAGGTGCAGGTCCACCTCTGCCCAAGGAGGCAGGCCTCTTCCCTCCTCCTTCTCTTCCCACAACAGTGGCTGGGGTACACACTCCATGAGGACAGGGCCTCCTGTTTTGTCAGCTATAGTGCTTCCAGCCCCTAGAATAATGCCTATTATATAGCTGGGACCCATAAATACCTACGGAATGTACATACTATCATCTTCACCTGACAGATAAGGAGAGTCGAATGTATTTCCCAAAGACATAAAGCCAATATATATGGCAGAGTCAAATGTCAAATTCTGGACTTCCCAGGTACAGAAAATATCACACCATACAGCCATTCACAATGCTATTCACTGAGTACCTACCTGGCAGGATGCTCAGGTGCATAAGGAAGGTTACCCCATGATTTAAAAACCTTCATGGGAAGCCAGGCATGGTGGTACATGCCTGTAATCCCAGAAATCTGGGAAGCTGACTCAGAAAGAGACCCTGTCTCAAAGCAAAAAAAAGGGGGGGTTAGGGATATAGCTCAGTGCAAAGGCCCTAGGTTCAATCCCTACCACCAAGCAAAAGAAAACAAACAAACAAACAAAAGACCCCTATTATTAGAGACCTGTTACATACCAGGCACTATGTAATTAACCCACAGCTCTTACTGAAAGGTTGTGTGTGTGCAGGTTTATGCATGTGTACAGGCATGTACATACACATATAAATGTATATGGAAACACATGCTACATACATATACAAATGTCACGTGTTCAAACACTGTAAAATTTCTTAGGCTAATTACTAGACAAAGTAAAGGCAACTGAATGATTGAAACAGTTAATAAAAGAAAAGGACCTAGAAATCATCAGAAGGAAAGAGAGAAAGCAGGAGACAACAGTGCGGAGAGACACTGAAGAATTCCCAGGCTTCCATAAGACCAGAAGGACCAAAGCAAGCTGAGGAGCAGGCTTCCCACGCTGAACACCACAGTAGAACACAGCAGGCTCTGGAAGCAATCTGCAGAGGCCTGACCACCCTGTTATTTTCTCTTCTTGCTTGCTTTTTCTTTTGCTCCTGAAAATTTACACATCTGTTGTTAACTGTCTCAAATCCTGTACCTATCAGTAATATTACTTGAAGAAAAATGTCCCACTGCAATTAAAAAAAACTCAAACTTATCTTCTGGAAACCACTGCTCAAATTCAGACTCTCCCTACAAGAGGGGTCGCTGGTGCTACCCAAGGTCCAGAGGTAGCTGTGCAGAGCTGGGGCATACCCAGGCATCCTCCAAGTGTCCTGGGTTAGCAAGGTCACTGTTCAATGCCACAGGGCAGAGAATGTGGGCAGCTACAGAGACCAAGCATAGTTCACCAGGCCACAGCACCCTCCCTGCAAAGCCTAGGCTTCTCCATCATGTCCACTTTGGTCAGGACAGAACTGGGGCTCTCAGGCCTCCGCGGCCAAGCTCAGCCTCTGCAGAGGAGGTTGTGTGGCTTCTCAGGCTGGAAATTATGAGCTGTTTGTTGGTTTTTCCTGTTTGGCTTGTTTTGACACACGGTAAAGGCTAATCCTCCTGGCAAAGACAGGTCAGCTGGCCCCTCCCTGAAGCACAGGGCAGCTGGATCCAACAGGAAAAAACCAGCTGGAGGAGGACACTGGTCAGCAGCTGACCTCTCTGCTCTAGCCACAGAGGCTCTTACGTGTCCCACAGGAACTGTAGGCCCTTAACAGTGTAGATGCTGGAGCCACACTGACTCAGCCTCTGATGCTGCCTAGAGTCTGCTGAGTGGTCTCAGGAAAGCCACTACATCTCTCTGAGACTCAGTTTCTTCACCTCCTAGTAGAATGACTATGCTTACCCTACACTTAGGTTCATATGTGGGAAAGCCTTAGACTAGCACCAGGATGCAGTGACCATGCAATGAATCCAGCTGTTGTAGCTATTTCGTTATCTGTAAATGAAGCTCTTGACATCTACTGCATTAGGTGCCAGGCCAGATGAGGCTGGGTTGGCAGAGCACCTGCCATGGGCTGGGCTAAACTGTAGTATCTGAGGTGGTCCCAGCACAAGCTGCAGAGACCCCCAACCCCTTCAAGAGCCCTGGCTTCCTCCGCAGCACTCAAAGCTGAAGGCAGTGGGGTGAAGCCCTGTGCCACTGAACCCCAGCCTCTAGCTCTCTGCCTTGGATCCCATGCTGGTGGGTAACCTGACTGGGTCCTGGCATTGCGTATACCCTGTCCTACATGCTTGGGTCCTTCTCAGCCATCCCATGAAAGTGCTCTTGCTATTTTCCTCAAGATAAGTAACTCCTGGGCATTCTGAATTTGGGGGAGGTAAGCTAATATGATCCATAGAAGTCATTTCTCATTATTTCCTTGA